ATGCTCCATCAATGATTCATCGTGGGGTAACGTAGGGGGGTGCATGCATTCCTTCCAGGGGCACTGCAGAAGATCGGGAGAGTTCCTAAAATGGGGGACATGTTAGCGAGACATGACTCTTTCCTCCTCGTAACATGGTGGATGAATGACTTACACTTCGCTGGACACAACCCCGTCAGAGACTGTGTGTTCCTCTTCGTGGATGTACTTCATGCTGTTCAGATCTAGGTTCGCTTGTTGGTATGGAGGGATGCTGGCGGCGAAGGAAGCAGGACTGGCATGAACGAAATTGTATCTGTTATTGAGAATTTGCGTGCTCGAGGGCCCGACGGTAATGTATTCTCCAACGATAGGACGATGCATGCCATCGACGATAGGACATTGGCTTGACCGATCCGATTCACGATACCCCAATCCCAAAGGAGTGGTGGTTGTTGTGTCTGGATATGCGGGGGACTGAGCCGTGTGAGGATAATAAGAATAACCTCCGGTCGGCGTGGAAGACGCTAACTCGGGAAATGACGGATTACCCTGAGCTTCATGGAAGCTATTTTGGTAGTTCAGGGTTCGGTCAAGCAGGCTCGGATTGACCAAGTCGTAATCGTCTGGTGGTAGCACTGTAGATCGCATCGCCCACAAGGTAAAATATGAATGCACAGATAATGGGTAGAAAAGCAGCTCAATAGCTAACCACGCCTCGCACCGAAGCTTCCGATGAAAAAGACCTCATCTTTGGTGGGACATCCCTATATATACTCAGGAAGCAAGTCGGGAGATTCAAAGTGAAAACTTGAACCTCATGGAGGCTCAGATCCACGCAGATCAATCCCACATTTTGTGAGAGTAAGTGGGTACCATAGCCCGGTAGTTTGAAGGATTATGTATCTAAGGGTATGGTGTATCTAAGGATATGGAGGTTTCTCCCAGGCACATGAGCCTGGTCAGTTGGGTTTCGGGAAAATTGCTCCCATTGGATTGGAGATCAGTCGGAGTGAGAAAAAAAAGTGGGGAATCAGTTTGCCTTGTAGTTCGGGGGATTTGTCTCTGGAACCAACCTACCAAATCCACTGGGGCTCTCTACCTCGGTGCGGTGGTGTGGTTGGTCGCTTGGGTCCCTCGGCCCACTCACACAGGTTTCAAAAAGCACATTAAGGCACACTATCGCGGTCGTCACGCCCCGGTTGTTGACACCGCTGGGTTGTAGGGGTGCAACGGACCTCTAGAATTATGCTCCCGAGCACGGAGTCTTCACCAATCAGGACTAAAAGACTGCGATATTATAGATGGGTAAAAAAAAAGACCAGTACTTTGGTTCCACATGTGGAGCTTGGGGATTCGCGTGCCTGAAAAATCCCATTTTGTCCTTGTCGGCATGCTCAGCCATCAGCCACGTTGGGAAATATATTGATTGAATTTTATTTGTTTATGTCACTTTTTTTGTCAGCCTCTTATCCAGAATATTTTTGAAATTCTAATTACATTAAGACAAGAGTAAGATCGGGAAATTTTTATTGCAAAATATTGAACTTGACTAGCTAGCCTTGGGTATTGAAATTTTTCTGGCTGGATAGGGGAAAAGAAACTGAAAGCCAAGGGGAAAAGTGCCGTATCAACTTATTCTAACCTATTGATTTAGGAAAGTGTGGGCCGAAGAACAAGGGTACTTGTGCAAATGGGTAAAGGGGGGTTATAGGTAATTTCGTGGAGCGATGGTCAATGCCGAGTTTGCTCTCTTCGCTCCGAATGCAGTTAACTTTAGGTACTCATGAACCCGTCAAGAGGAGCATAGGTACGTGGGCCGGAACGGGGTTCCCGGCAGATCACGGAGCTTCGATTGTTCTAGAGAAGTGTACCACAGTATGATATATGCTTCTGAATTTTTAATTTATTTCAAAGATGAAATGAGATGAGATGAATTGTGAATGAATGTGATGGAAAAATAAAAATGCAAAGATTAATGTATATAAAATATAAAATATAAAATATAAAATAACAAAGAAATACAAAAATCTTTGTTTTTATTTCTTATTTTTTCAATCACATGGTGGTATATTTGGAAGTCCTTTTTTATCAAACTCCTTCTTATAGGGCTTTCAATCCTGGAACGCCATGTATTTATTCCCTATTCTCTTCTGAAAATTCAAAGAGAGACTCGACACTGTGATAGTAGACAATAAAACCAAATTAAACATGTAAGATTAAGTTTCAGCAGTGGATAAACAATCCGCATCCCCGTTGAGGTTTGATTACAGACATCTGTTGAATCTAAACTAGTGCGCATTAAGAACGGTTGCTGGGGAAATAAATGATTTGAACTCTGGAATTGAATGGCCCCCTCCAACGATGAGATCCGAGGCCCGATCCTCCTTTCTGACAATGGACAGAGTTTGCGGTGTAGGTGGGCGTGAATATCATCTCCCTACGCACTCCGTACCTAAGCGAGTGCTCTGGCCCCGGAGGATGGAAATTGTCTCCCATCATAATGCCAAGTCATTCGATACCTCCCAATAATTCCTATCCAGGCCCTAAAGCTCGGGCTCGAGCGCTGGGTGGACGCCTGCGGGGTGGATTTTTCCTAGCATCACAAGTGACTGAGTAAATATTTTTTCTGTGAGATAAAACTTTTTTGTTTAAGATATATATTCTTTTGAGCGCAACTACCACGAAACATGCACAGGGTCAACAGAACTCCGCTCAAACCAATCGACTGTTTACCGGCTAACTCATCAACAATGTCCAGCGAGCACACTACACATGTCTAGTCTATGTCAGTTTCTCAGCACTGTCGTTTGCTTTGGTTGCTGTTTAACCAATATTCTCTTTTGCATTCATCGCCATGTTAATGCTAGAATGAAACAAATTGAACTGAAACTGAAGGCTTGGATCCGGGAAAAAAAGAGTATGACGAGGAAACCTGAGGAGAAACCCAACGTAAGTGTATTCACTCAACTAGAAAGCGAGGGAAGAAAATCCAGAACAAGCGAAGAGAGCGGGGGGGAAGATTTGTGTCCGCGAGAATAGGAGACCACCTGATCTCTAAGAAAATACGAATGCAGCAGCTGACTGGGGGCCCGCTAAGGGAAAACAAAAAATGATAAACAAAAATGAAAAAGCGGTGGGAATAATTGCCTTGACCTTGTGTGCCTGGGCACGACCTGGGTAGAATGAAGGTTGTTGGGATGGACTCCAACCTGAGGCGACTCCGCGCCAGCAGAGTGAAAATAGCGATGAAACCAGCCTGGATATCAAGAAGTACGCCTAGTACTGTGTTAAACGTCTTTCACCTATTTAAATCGACCAAATTCGATTGGTCAAGAAGCCCTTGTTGTACAAGACAATATGCAAGCTAAATTGTAAAAGAACTAACTCCCCCATTGGCTAGGTCCCACTCGGGGTATTCCAAGCGGTCTCCAAGGCGTGGAAGGGATCGAGAACAATAAAAGAATTAAGCAAATGTTTAACATCTTACTATATTTCAACCCCAGGATATCGAGACAGCTATTTCCCTGTTCCAATCGGACTTGGTAATAAACGACCAAAAGGAGCACCATGCTCGGACCGATCCACACTAAAGATGCAGGAACACGCAATCTGGGTGACCTGGGAGATTAGTTTGCCTACTGATTCCCGATCGCAATATCGTGCTCTTTTCTGGAAATTTAATCGGGAAAACCTTACACCGGTCACATCGAACACAAGACCCACTTGTGTATGTGCATTGGGCCAAAGATTATGACAATCTCAAGAAACCATACAGAGAAGAAATAATCATCAGAATACGGGGTTAAGTATTATCAATGCCATACGGCTGTAGGCTTGATGTGGATCCCAATATTGGGAAATAAACTGAAAGGTTGACTGAAAGTGCCGATATTACATGGGATCCGAAAATTATCAATCGCAAAGCTACAAAATTCTATGTAATTCCCTATACCTAGTTCACCACCAATCCTAAGCCTATGGGAGATACATGAAGACAAGGGTATCAATGGAATGTCGCCTGCCCAGCAGGTTTCTGTACTGTGCGGTAATTTGGTATTTTTCATTCGAGCCTCACGTAATTTTTTGAATTGCTCAGAAAAGGCTTGATTTTACGCTTCTTGGTGTGGATGAGGCTCGCATTAGTGGGTGCGCGAGCGAGTCCTTACTACAACCATGGTAGGAAACCTAGGGGCCGGCGACTCTATTTTCGGCGTCTAATGACGCCGATTCCACTGGATTTTCTGGATGAAATGGACGAAGCAGGAGAACCGTCAAGTCTACAAGCACCATATGGAAAAGGGCCCGGCAGTTCGACTTGGCCCCAGCCTGGTCATTGTGCACTGTTATTAGGACGGATTGAAGAATCTACCATGGAGGTTTTCCCAAACCGGAGTTTTACTTTAACGGCTGGAGTTTTACTTTAACGGCTTTGCTGTATATCGGTATGGGGACCCGTCCGACCCACAAATGAAGGAGCATAGGCTAACCCCCACCGATAGGACCGCCAATCTATCGCACATGCCGCACATAAGAAAGCTCTGTCGAGCTGCTTCTCGAAGTCGTCTATCATGTCATCGCATCACGAAGACGTTTTGTTCAACTGTGTCCTTCACCTGGTATATATACAAGGCTGCCACCGAAAACAAAGTAATCGAGGTCATTGAACTCAGTTACTCCTTCCTGCTTACTGGACACCTTTATACAGTGGCAGTTCGGGCGGTCGCTAGGCAGCAGCTTAGTCAAGGACGAAAAGGAAAGAAGGATGTACCTTGACGGGTTTCTTGGGATATCAGAATACACATTTTGACGATACCACTTCCCCGGCTTGGTCAGCATGCTCCGGAAAATCAGAGTTCACCTTATTCCCCAAAGCGTGCTAGGTGCCTTTGAATCTGTCGAGAATTGGAACTTGGAAAAGTGTGACCAAGCTCAGCAACTCTTAGCAAGTGGGAAACAGTTATCAGCGGATGATCAACCGATCGCATTCGAACCAGCGATAAAGGGGATGAGCGAGGTTGATGCAAAACCCAAAACATGTTCTCTTGGAATTCCGGAGAATTCGAGACAAGCGGCAACACCTCTACCTATTTGTTCTGGGAGTTGAGTCGGGGCCAGAATGGCAAACGAAACTCCGAGAAGATCTACTCGGTCTCCACCCACCCTTGAAGGATATGCCCGGAAGGCGTGTTGGGATTGACGATATCACAAGCCCTCAGGATATTGACGGGTTGCCGATACTGCATGCTATATTGATGGAAATCCTTCGACTCTGGCCCTCGGTACCTGGTGGTCAACCCCGGACAGTACCGCGGCCATGTACCCTAGGTGGCTACCACAATATCCCTCCTGGACCGACCGTGCAATCTTATGCATCGGCCCTACACCGCATGCCGGATGTGTTCCCGGATCCTTTTGAGAGGAAGCCGGAAAGATGGTTGGATGCATCGCAAGAAGAGCTAGCCCTGATGAGGAAATGGTTCTGGGGATTTGGCTGTGGTGGAAGGATGTGTCTTGGACCTTATTTTGCATATTACTGTATTTACTCCAGTTTCACTACCACCGTTCACGACCATGGAGACATGGAACCGAGTGATGGCTATCTCGCAGGTCCAATAGGTCATCGTCTGGAACTGAATTTTCATCTTGTGGAATGAGCCACGAGGCCATCTTCAGTGTTGATCCTATATAGCTCTCCATTAGCCTCTCATGTATCTAAAATAATCAAAATGTTTGAGCCATACTAGCCACTGACTGCGTCGACATCGATACCATATCCTACAAGTACGCGCTTTCCCATATCGTCTGGGTTGGCTTTTGTTTCCAAGTCGGAGCAAGCAAAATAATCCTTAGGTCAAATAAACGGCCGTTGAATCATATTCAAGGTCCCTTAATTAGGATTGGTTATCTCCTTAGCGACCTTCCTAAAATGGTCAATAGATGAGACACAAACGTTAGCCCGTGTGCTTTTCGGCCTCAGGTCAAAAGTTGAAACCCTTCTACCTCGGAAAGGACTAGGGGGAACAAAAAGCGAATGGCTTCGTGAATTGCCGGAAATTCCAAGCTTCATTGTGAATATTCTGAGAGGGGAGTGGAAGCGGTGTCATAAGCTCTGATGTGAGATAATTTCGAACATATATTTTTCATATGTGCACATGGAGCTCATCAAATTCCGAATGAATTTATAGCCCTGGAGAGCTGAAGATAACGATGACACATCCATGGATGTATCGCTCTTGGCCGCTATCGCAAGATAACAGCCCTACTCATCTCCAGTTCTGCTACTTAGATACCTTCACACTGTTCTTCCTATGGCGAACGAGCGATATTTTGGAAGGGCGTGCAAAACATGCCGCCGTCGAGGACGAGTATGCGATTGGCGCATGCCTTCATGCAATACCTGCGTAACTAGTGGCTTGACGTGTGAGGTTATCTGCTACAGTGGCCAGGCTTGGCAAGCCCCAGCCAACTCGTGGGCTAAGGCATTCCAGTGACAACAAAGCGACGACAAACGCGCCGAGTACAGCAATCGACCATTCCAAGTCAACCATTGCCCACAATTACACAATCAACAATCACCCGTTGCCCAATTGCCAGAAAACACCGCCAACAATCACGAGAACGAAAGCCAAGAGAGCCGATTCGAGGATCTGCTTGACCACGTGCAGCTCTTTATAGAGATCCCGGAGGCTGACACTCCGCCCGAGCTCCTGATGTGGTCTAACGACGCGCCTCTCATACACAATTCTCTTGATGATCTTATCGCCCCTCAAAAAAAGCTTGGTCCAATCATTCCCGGGAGCTTGGAGGTTCTATTGACTTTCGCCGTGTACTATGACCGGGACTTGATATTTTGCGTATAACGGAGGAACTCACATTTATTATGCAATACTGTCAGTAGCGAACTATCCTTGACACATCGTCAGACCCGCTAACAACTTGCAGATGTCTGTGGAGTTGTCCCAAAGTTGCGTGTGGACAACTTATCACCTCAAAATCCCTATCGCGATTACATCCTTCCCCTTGCGATCGAAGTGCCATCATTGCTATACGCGTGTGCGGCCTTGGCGGTGTGTTATTACAATGTGCAACTGTCTACAAACCAATTCGAGCGCGAGTACTTTTGATTCAAGGGGAAAGCTACGAAACGATTGCAGGACGATCTATATTCCCAAATCCGAGCAAGTCACCCAGACACGCTTGCAACAATACTCACGCTGTGCTTGTATAACCTTTGCCATGGAGGAATATCGGATTTTCAGTCGCACTTCCAGGGGGCTAAAAGGCTTATCGAACTACGTCAAGAACGAACGGCTGGCTGCTTTGTGGAACAATACCTAGCTTGGTAAGCTTTATAACCTTATACCGGGTTTCATGACTGGCTAATAGATTGTGCTCCTTCGTGACTTTCAGGCTAGAAGTTATGGCTGCTGCTTTGAATTTTAAATCTACGGTATTTTCATCACAGGAGATTAGCTTCCTGCTGGGTGAGTCCGGAGACAGGCGGACTTTCGATATAATACCTTGTCCCTCGGATCAATTTCAAATTATTTGTGAGATTGTCGCATTGTATCAGTGTCAACTGGATGCCAACAGTCCTACAATCGAGACGTCGAATAAGGTCCAGGAGATCAAGCAACGGCTACTGAAAAAGCCAGTCCACTGCGATAGTAGTCAGAACTGGCTTGACACGACAGAAGCATGCATATCAGTTTGCCATTATTCATTACTTACTCCGATTATTCTCCCGCAACATTCATGATTTTGAGCTGGATTGGCTGGTCAGCAGTGTACTATATCACGCCAGAGCCACTCCACCAGCCTCCGGATGGTCAGATCAGTTACTATGGCCTTTATTCCATGCTGGCCTAGAGGTCAAGCATGCTAGGGGTCAGGAATTGGTACGGGAGCGGGCTCAGTGTATGCAGGGTTCGGGGGGATTTGGAGATGTGAAAAGTGCATTTGTCTTACTAGAGGACGCTTGGAGAGGGCAGCGGTCATCAAAATATATCAGTCTGATGCAGGGACGAGGAAAATGGAGCTGTACTCTTGATTTGATGCCGGAATCTGCGCAGGCTATTTCTTAATATGGACAGGATCTTGATGCCTACAACTTCGCAAGCTGTGTGCGTGCCTTGCAATGCTCCACCATCTCTTTTGCGCATCGAAGACCAATCAAGTAAATGTTGATTTGAATGTAATTGCTGTTCATGTAAGAAAACGAACCGCAAGTTTGTCAAGTGAAATAGCTTACCAAGTTAGAATAGGGCATACGCTCAGGTCCGCCACCCGGAGGTTTTGCATTCCCTTGACTTGAAACCAGCAGTTTACCACAGCCTCGAGATCATCGGTCTTGCCCATACGACAAGTACCCAAGCTGTGGTAGCCTTGGTCTAAGTTCTGTCGGAGGAAATTCAGCATCACATTAATGTGGTCAGTGATCGCATCCAGATCTGCCATCGCAAACTCAATGTCAGGGTTATGGACCATTCGCTCAATTTTTCCTTCATAGGCCGTGGTGCGAGAAATCTTCAACCACAAGCGACGCTTTCGATGGCGATGCGCTGATCGAATGGATGAGCCAGGACATTCGGGTCGAGAACCGCTGGTTTCCGTTGATCTGTGGAACTAATTGTGACAGTTCCTCGTGACAAATTGTTTTGCAGCAGGCTCATATAACTTTCGTCTGGTCTATCGGGCTCGTACACGGATGTTTCTGTCACTATGGTCAAATTCTTAAGCGACGCTCGAGCTGCCTCGCCCAGGAAGGCATTAGCTGCATAGCATCTCTCTCCATCTCGTACGTTGAACTGGGCCAACCCGACGCCCACTGGATTTCCTTAGTTGATATCTAGACACAAGGGTATGCCGGTTTCCACGCACGCCTTCAGAAATGTCTCGATACCGGGAACTATTTGGTTGCCAAATCTAATCTTGAGAGGGCTGCGGCAACCCCATAAGTACACAGTCGACGGAACAAAAAGACGGTCCACACTTACCTAGAGGCTCCAGGATGTGAAGGCCGTGGAGCAGCAAAGCATTGCATATTTTCTGGCAATTTTGGGTCAAAGTCCTCAAGCTGCCATAATCTGTTAGTTCGTTCCATCGCGAAATGAAGCTTCCGGGAAATGACCAACCTCTCTCATCCGGGGTAATGTATTCTCCCACCCGCCCTCTCCGACAATCCTAGCCCATTCGTCATAATTAGCTGCTGGCCCTCGAGCAAGTGCCATATAGTTGGCAGCCCTAAATTAAGCTCTTAACATCGTCGCCATGGACTGTCGATCAAGAGTGACCTCCCGAGCTGCCTCCAAGCTGCCTGCCTCTCAGAAACACTAGCTTCCTCCCACCCAAGTGTGCCTGTGGTAACGTAGCCAACCCCCAGAGTCCTTCTTTGTCTTCCTGTAACTGCTTGACATATTTACCTGGGACTAGAACGTTCGGCAGAATGCCTGAATCTTCGGCCTGCTTCTATGAGAAGCACGGAGACGTTTGGAACAGAGGCAAGTTCTGCTGCAATAACACAGCCGGTAGTTCCCCCACCACAAACAATGTAGTCAAATGTTTGACCGGAAATGGCTTTGGCGTTCATGGCCACTGTAGGCTTGGTCTCTAAACCAGAGTTGCTCAGTGATTCCTAAGGTGTAGAAACAACCTACCAAGACCTCGAATTCAAATACCTTAGAGGGTTTGAGTTGGTGATACACCATTTGATGTTGCATTGGTCTATTCTGGTATCTCATCGGATTTCCATAATTAGAAGTTGGATAAGCAACGGATGTCCAACTATCCGGCCTGCATTCACGGCTTGGTAGATCAATTTACTCAATCTTTCACTTGAGGGAGTCGAAAGTCTTTGATCAAGGGATCTATGTTGATTATCGCAGTGAAAGTCCAGCCGTAAATTTACCGGGCAGAGTCCAACAAGAAAATCCAGAAATTGACGTCAATTCTGCGCCACAGTCTAGTGACCCCTAACCACGTTACATTCTATCATCCTCTCCCTCATATTACCTGATCATACGATCATAGGGTGTGGAAAACAGGGCTTCCCGTCCGCTCAGCCGTACTTAAGCCTATTATTCTGTATAGCCAATAGTCAATACGCCTTTAGCACCTAAGCGACACTGTTGGGTGAGTCCGAGTGATACAGGTGGAACTGATTTTTTCGCAAACCTGTAACATCACTGAATTATGTACTCGCAGCCCATTATTCTAGTCCCACATCCCACTTCCCTCGTTAAACTTCTCCATCTTAAACCCATCCATCTTCAACCCCAACTCCCGATAACATTCACAAATTCTTTTCCAAACTGTCAAATCAGTATCCGGAAGCACCACACCCTTGTCCTTGGCCTTCTTCTCCCTCTTCTCCATCTGATCCTCATAATCCATCTCGCCCGTACAAGTCGTACTCGAGTTGATCGCCAACACAAGATCAAACTGCCCGTTCATTTCCTTCCAAGCCTGATCAACTTCATTCCAATTCTTAAGTCTAGTCGACTCAAGGAGTCCACGAGGCAAAGAAGCCGTAAAATAAACCTCGATCACCTGCCCGTAGGCCCAGCCCTCCCAGTCACGATCAATCAAGAATTCAAACAGCGGCGCCATCCGGAGTCCATCTTCCGGGACACCTGCCTTTTTCTTACTCCAACCCCAGCCAAAAGGTGAACAGCAGGTTTCGAATGTCCCGACTCGGTAGAGAGGCGGCTGGTGCGTGAGCATCCGGCGCCAGCTGGCTTCGGATCGGATGAACATTTCTCGAACGGCTGGGTCTTTCTCCCAGGTAAGATCGGTCAGACAAATACAGTCTTGTTCAGTATTGAAAATAGAAGAGAATGCTTCTGCCAATAGCGGGTTCTCGACTTGACTGCCGAGGTCTATGCCATGGCTGATTGGTCGGAGAAATAGAGTCTCCTGTAGTGACTGCGTGGTGCAGATCAGATCTTTCCACGTGCGACTGATTCTTTGGGCGGCGATCAGCGTTCGCATGTCCATCTGGTGCAGGATTGAGGTCACGATCTCTGGGATCGCGAGGGCCCGTGTCTGAGCGTTGTTCTCGGGCATATTTGGTTCTGCTGTGGATATTATTTATGATGTTTTGATGGAAATGGAATGCTTTTGGCGTGGGGATCTGCATTGAGCCGCACTGCCTGGCGGGTTGGAGGAGGATCGGCAGATTATGAGGTAGGGGGCCAGGGTCTGACTAGCAATCACTAGCGCCTAGTGGATGAGGGGTTATAAAATTTCTATATCATTTCTCCGATATGCCTTGCTTTTTCAGGTCGTGAGGTTACTTTGCTACTTAGTGATTCCCCTTAAGAATATTTCTAATTCTCGGACTTTGTATTTAATCAACTTGTAACCTAACCATATCACGATGTCACCTGAACGGGTGTCAGTTGCCCGCGACCTAGGGTGACTCTCACTCTGGTCCTCACCCTCCTATAGCACACCCACCCTTCTCACCCACCCTTCTCACCCCCGGTCACGCGATGCTAAGGCGGCGCTCACCGATTTCTCACCCTGGCGACACGCACCCGACTACTGGCCGCACATATGAGTTAGTAGTGGGGTGTGTGACCACGAATTTATATTCAATAACAAGTTTAATTCTCCTAGGCGGCCCCCCCTTCCTTTTTTTCCCTTTCTTCCTACTGTGCATGTGTCAACCGGTAGAAGCTTGTAGCAAAGGGTTGTGATCAAGACAACACACCTGCGAGAAAAAATCAGTATGGGAGGGGAGGACATGTCGGCGATTCAGGGGCGTGCAGGATATTCAGGTGGCAGGATATTCAGGTGTAGAATAGTGATGTTCAGGGCATTCAGGGTGGGCTGAAGGGGAAGAGTAGGGCGACAGAGACTCCGAACGAATCAAAATAGAAGATTGAAAAGAAAAAACATACAACAGGATGTCTAAGGTGATCGTCACCTAGCGCCCGCAGTTCGGGCATAGGCGGCTCGCCGCTCTATTCAGTCCTCCTCAGGGCACTACGGGTGGAGATATTCAGCCCGTACAGCAAAAGGTACATTTCCCCAGTATGAACGAAATAGCTATCAGTGACCTTTTTTTCCCTCCGCTTTCATCTCTCCAGCCTCGCTTTGTCACGAACAAGATACGTACTAAGCATGACCTAACGTCGATTATATGGTTAATGTTGTGGATTTCGGGGAGTGTAGTGTCGAAATACTGAGATGGAATACATGGTTGAGACAGGGTATAATGTCAAGAAAATCATGGTACGAGGCATACAACGCGGAGGTGCATGTTACAGTTAGTCATCGAGGTCCGCACAGATTGTTAAATATTGCGGTCTTGTTAATTTTTGTTACTGTGTTCAATAGCTACCAATAAGGTTACCCATACATTGTTGTGCCGCCAGATTTCTGTCATATGGACTTCCCACTTCTTTCAATAGCCACGGGAATATGAACCCAATCTTTCTACCCCTTGAAGCCATCGCGCACGGGAACACATGTTCCCGACTTCAAAGAGAACATCCGAGAGGATGACTTAGTAACGTGAAGCATCTTCTTAGGAGCTGTTCAAAGGGTAAGTGGCCAAGCCTAGCTTCGTTCCAATGTAATTGAAACTATTGAGGAAGACATATTCGAAATTTCAGTTAAGATTGACCCCCTGTCAGCTAAGATTCGGGCATCTGCTGCATACTCTCATCAAGCCACCCAAGACACAAGTCATCATGATCAAGATCGGCACTGTTCAGCACGGTTCCATCCGGAATCGATAAATCATCTGCTCGACTGTCTGCTCTTATGTCACAGGAGAGCCCCTCAGTGGAGAGTACTTGGACTGGGACTGGTCGTTTCTTCCAGATTTTCAAAAACACCAGGGCGTCCGATTGCCCGATTCGACCTTGGAGTGTTAGTGAAATGTCAAAACGGACTGGTGCAGTGCACATGTGCCTGATAGCATATAGTTCGTACCATCTTAGGATCGGTGTCTACCTACCTGGGCACTTCTAGGTTCAACTGGTTGACAGTAGTCCGTAATTAGGCGCAAGAGAATCATACCGCTGACCTACTGTCTTGAAAAGCTTTCCATTTGAAATCCGCTCTTTCATAATTCAACCATTTCTGCATTAACTCTTTACAGCGGCTGTCTACATCCTCCTTTTCTTCCTCTTCAGATAGACGCCACCTCGACTGGAAAATCCCCATCAGATCTGATTCGCCATGGAGATTTCAACATTCAGTTCCTTTGCCCACGTCCACACCAATCCCGGATTCTTTTGAAATCCCCGATCGATCAACACGAAGTCGAGGCCGTTATTCTCCAATAGGCAGTTGGCCAGATGACCAGAGTTGATCACGCCAACAGAGCCCACCATCATTCTATCCCCAACTGCCTCATTCGTCTTGATGGCGAATGGTGCCTGGAAAGCAGCCTTAGGATGGATATGCTGCGCCCGGTGATTCTCTCCACTACTGATATACAGCACGTCGACATTTCCACGCTCAGCCAGCTTTTCAGCAAGGCGAACCTTATCTTCTACGCGCCACCTCGGCTCGTCGGGCATAGCATCCTCCAGTCAGTCGGTCGCCGAGACAGGCAGAAAGATAGGCATATCCTTTGGAACAGTTATGCTACGCTGATTATGTACATCACGTGCCACCATGGGTACTAAGTGCGTGGACGAGAGCAGGTGAATGATCTGCATCTATCGATTCAGGGTCTGACTCGGTGATAACTCAATGTTCATCTAGACCTCACTTCCTATCCCAAAATATCGAGCAACTTCACTCAGACCTGAGCCTCCAATTCCAACCCAAAGATCGACAAACCCCTCTTCTCTGGCTCGTGCAACATCTTTACTATCCCATGCTTCTTCTAACTCTCTCTCGAGATAGATTGTCTGAAACCCACATTTCTTGGCGGCCTGCAAGTCCTGAAGATGGGCTGCGATAAGACAACACTGCGAATTCCTAAACCCAAATCTGCGAGCAGCACCATGATAAGCCTCTGGCGAGGGCTTATAAGCACCTAGATGCTCTGCACTGGTAATATGCTTGAATGGCAAAGAAGTATGTTCTTGTAGGTCCTCGAGCAGCTTTATATTGCCGTTGGATAGGGTAGAGGTCGGAAATTTAGTGCTTAGCAATGAAAGGCCTGGGACACTATCAGAGTACGGGTCAAGTCGATGCCAAGCGAGTGTCAAATCAATGAGATCGTCCTCATCAAATAAATCACGGAGAAGCCATTTGATGAGAATCTTTTCCAGGGAAATGCGGTTGTACTCATCAACTGAGATAAAGGGTTTAGATGGATCGTAGGTGTTTCCGAAGTTCATATATGAGTGATGCCATTCCGTAGAGATCTCCTGCCAGCTCGAAATGGACATTTTAGAGACACGTGCTTGTATATCAGCACTTAGATGTCGACCTTGATCTTGTACAGCCCTTTGTGCTGCGGCGTTCAGTTGGTTCGCGATGCAATATCTCCATTCCACGATTGTCCCTAAGACATCGAAAAATAGTATTGAAGGGGAACCAGCTAGTGGCATCTTTATCGAAGCTTCTTTGAGAGATACCAAAGAATAAAGGCTGGTGGATGAACTGTAGATTATACCTGAAGGTATATCTGATTCTTCGTCAGTTATAGAAACATTATGGCCTCAAAGAGAACTTGTAAGAGAAAGATAACTTTACCCTAAGGACTAATGCACAAGTGAATGATACTGATATTATCGAAACGAGATAAGTCTTTTTAAAACGTCGATGTGACTGAAATCCACTCTTTCATTAACCTCGGGATTGTATTGTTTAGGGCTGCATGTGATTAGGAAGCGGAAAATCTCAAGGCTCTCGTACTTGGGATCACACTAAGCGGGAATGGCGAGATGCTGAATTAAGCGTCCCGCAGTGGGTCTTTCGGCCTTTTTCAAATTGGGTGGAGTATTCCTTCAATTTATAGGATCAGTTACAATCAATGCTAGTACAGTGTAGCTAGGAAAGGTAGTACCGTACACCAAAAATGTATTCAGTCTGATGGATCTCTCGGGGACTACCATAAGCAGTACTTGAGGTGTTTCAGAGTGTTATCTTTGTCCAGGCATCTAGATGTCATATTCTGAGGTTAGTCTTTCCACATGTGGACATGCATAAATATTTGAAGCTGAAAGTGTAGCAACTCCTTCCTCTTGATATATAAATTGAACGAAAGCATACATGCGCATGAATGAAGCTCGATCTCTCATTGATTGACGTAATTCATTTGGCTTAATATTCGAATTTTACCTTTTCATCAATATGTCTGCTCTGCTTGATGTGGCACCAGGTCTCCGGGGAATGCCCGCTGGTCTTCCTCGTCTGGTTCCTGTGGATCGCAAGTTATTCCCCGATGGGTTGCGTACCAGCGGTCAGCATCCACCCGTGGAAGGACAATTGTGCGCTTTCGAAGGTTTTCCATTGGAGATTACAGGGCCAACTGTTTGGACTCCACAGGAAATGATCGATCATCCAGAATTGTGGATTTATCAGTGGACCGAAAGTGAACTCGAGGAACTTTTGCAAGCGGTTGATAGCTTCATCGCCTCCGGAACCCCTCTGATCAGTATCAACAAGGTATCTGCGAATAAGTGAGTATTTCAATACCATCACAAATTACTAATTGACATAATCCTCCAGAACAATTTCTGTATGCCAAAATTTGAGCCACAGCTACAGAAAATTCGCGACGATATCCTCAACGGCCGTGGGTTCATTGTCTTTAGAGGCTTGCCAATTGAACAATGGGGCAGATATAAGGCCGCCGTTGCAACTATGGGGATTTCCGCGCATTTCGGATACCTGCTGTCTCAGAACAAACTTGGACTCATCCTGGGCCATGTGACAAATCAAGGCGCCGACTATCATAATAGTCTGGATAAAATCAAGATCTCTGCAACGAATGCCCCGTAAGTGTTGCAACTTGCCCTTCCAGGATTCATGCAGGTGTATTAGTCATAAGCGTTCATTTCCTAACCGCCGCGATCCAGGCAATTTTATCACACCGATGAGACAGATATTGTAGGGCTCCTCTTCTGCGCTCCTGGCGAGACTGGGGGTGCATCGGGCTGTGCGTCAGCGCACACAGTATGGAACGCTTTAGTCAAAGAGCGACTAGATGTTGCCAAAACCTTATCTTCCAACATCTGGTATGTGGATCGCAAGGGGGAGACAACCGATGATCAAGAACCCTGGTTCAGAAACCCCGTGTTTATGATGGAGCCTGGTGGTAAGGAGCGTGTCTACGTGAAGTGAGTCTTGATTGTTCACGCTTTTGGTGAAATGGGCAAGACGTCCCAAGTACTGGGGCTTCACTAACAACCCACAATTTTCATAGATGGGATCCGTACTTTGTCAAGTCCCTGTCTCGGTTTAGTGACCAGGGGCTGATACCACCCCTTTCTCCAGAGCAACTCGAAGCCATGAAAGTTCTGGAGGAGACTTTTCAGCGTTTCGGTCTCGTCTATGACTGTGAGATCGGCGATATCCAGTTCGTTTCTTGCTGCCAGACCTTCCATTCTCGCACTGGATTTACGGATCCTGCGCCTCCTAAACCCCCAAGATACCTGTTGCGTACCTGGATGGGCACTCCGGAGCAGCAGGGAGGCTGGGCTCTTCCCTTCCATGACAGTTTTCATCCTAAGCGAGGCGGGATTCAAGTTGACAATACTCCTCCTGCCGCGGACCCTCTTACCACCGACGGCGGTACAGAGTGATTTTTGCCTTAATTTAGAAGTGGCTTACTCTATAGTATTGACATAATAGTGATATGGAAGTGTTTTGTTTGAGTTTCCCCTGGGGAAGCCATGTAAGCATTGACTGAGGATGATACAATCTTTCTCCTCTTATGAATGAGTAATGGTGTTCGCTGTCGTATACGAGCACTCCTGGAGAGTTTGCTAGTCTTACCGACCACAGAATATTAAAAAAGTCTTGGTTAGATCCTGATATATTGAAATCATATAGTTAACTAAAGTAGTTCACTATAAGGGCGATCAGGGTGATCATGTAGGCCGCTATGGCGTGCTGACAGGAACCTTTGAAGCACGGTTCACGTACAGGGATCTGAGGGCCAATCAATAGTTTGGTTCTCCCGTCTGGGATAACGCCGTCGTTAACGCGAATGCTGTAGTGCGAGATAAGACCCACCGAGGGTTAAATCCTTCGCAAAGTAGCTTGCTGGCTACATGCTAGGGTAATACCCGAGGCTTTCTCTGCTTCCATCGTTTTTCATTCGCCATCTAACATCACGTGGCATGGATTTGTGCTGAGTTATGCCGCAACTGGCTCTCGCGCTTTCTCTCTCTCTCTCTATATTTCATGTGACAAGTTGCAGAATCGACTATTTCATTCTCTTCTCCTTGTTCCTTCTTTCCCTTTCTCTGGATCTTTGCAAGATATTCGAACTGCATTGGGTTTAACCTTCAAACGGAAGCAGGGCCTCTTCGAAAAGCCAACAATCCCCTACAATGGACACATCTGACCGACCGGTTCATCCATCAACATCAGTGACCTCGACTGTGCCACCTCCAGATGGCGGGTTCCATGCGTGGGCCCAAGTTGTATCGGGCCACTTGGTCGTCGCTCTGACATGGGGTTACGCTTCTAGCTTTGGGGTATTCCAAAATCACTATCAAGCCACTCTACCCCAAACTCCTTCGGATATCTCATGGATAGGTGGATTCCAAGTGTTCTGTCTCCTATTTATTTCCACGCTATCTGGGCGAGCAACAGATGCCGGGCTTGCACGACCGGTAGTAGCCCTGGGCGCGTTTCTTCTGCTATTAGGTACATTCATGACAAGTCTGGCCACGGATTACTGGCAAATTTTCCTAGCACAGGGCCTCTGCATAGGTATCGGTCAAGGTCTGATGTGGCTGCCGAGCGTGACGTTGATTTCCACGTACTTTGCGCGCCACCCTGTCTTCGCTGTCACAGCTGCGGCCACTGGTACGAGTACAGGGGGTATCATTTTCCCGGCAATGATCCAGTATCTCACTCCTCAAATTGGTGGGTTGTATCATCGCAATTGGAAATCTATTACTTCGCTAATCTATTGCATGGACGAGTCACAGGGTTCTTTTGGGCGGTTCGTTGCATGGGACTTGTCGCCCTGATTATGGTTCTCATCGTCCTCGCGCTCTTACGTCCGAGGCTTCCTCCCCGCAAGTCAGGTCCACTTGTTAAATTGGAAGCATTCAAAGAGCCGGCTTATATGCTTTTCACTCTTGGGGTATTTCTCCTTTATTGGACACTGTATTTTGCTTTCTTCTACGTATGTTATCGAACTCTATTATCGATACATGACGCTGACCGGATTCCAATTTTCAAATTTTAGGTTCAGGTTTATGCGACGGAAACGCTGCACCTTTCTCAGTCAGCCGCCGTCAACCTTATTATTGTCATCAATGCATGCGGTATTCCAATTCGCGCGCCCTGCGGATACTTGGCCGATCGATACATTGGCCCACTTAACTGTCTGATTCCCTGGGTAGGTCTATGCGGTATTCTAATGTTCTGTTGGGCCGCAGTTCATACTGTCGTCGAACTCTACGTATTCGCCGTATTCTACGGTCTGGCCTCGGCAGCCGCCATGGCTTTGTTTGCCGGTACTGTGCCTTCGTTGACTAAAGACCTGGACAAAATTGGAACTCGAGTTGGAATGGCGCTCACGTTGATGAGCTTCGGACCCTTGACTGGCCCTTCTGTCGCGGGAGCGTTGATAGCTCGGACGGGAGGTAGCTATCTTTCTGGACAGATCTGGGCAGGTGCCGCTTTGATTGTAGGTGCGTTGGCTCTAGTCGGGACGCGCATCATTATATCTGGACCTCGTCTTCGAGTGAAACTATAGAAGTGTGTGAGGTGTCCGTCGGGAAAGAATCAATACTTCTCATCCAGTCGTGAGCAATGAGCATATGACAGAAAAAAGATATCATCTGCTTTCGGGTTTCTTGCTTCAAGGTAGAATTCACCTGGAATAGCATAGATCTAGTCCGCATCAAATAATACCACTCTTTGCTTCCTTGAATTCGATGCCATCTCCTAACGGGACAAGCATTACCAATTTCACTCTCCTTTCATGCACCCTTGGAAAGCAGCCCTGTTCATTTTGTCGCTGGAATATTTGAATATACCTCGGCGGACCCGCCGGTGACCCGCGTATGATCAAACAGTAGGAACTGATAGATCGCAGATTCTATGTAGATTTTGCCCGTACTTTTGAGTGGTTTGCTGACAGTTCTCTACTGCCGAGAATTTGTAGATTTGGCATAGATGACTCGAAAAGAGCTTCATTTTGGGACCGAAACTAGCTGGAGACTAATCCATTTCTATCTCAATCTCGTATTCTTCGAGAAGTTTTAAATGTTTCCGAATTCTATCCGGTATGCGCTGCCGCGTTAGGTTAATGGAAGAATTATCTCATCCTCTTCCTCTTCATCTTCATTACCCTCGTCAAGCACGGATGCGACACTCCTTTGCCGCTTCTCTTGGCTCTTTTTTCACTCTAAGCTGGGCCTGTAGTCTGGATTTGAATGAAACGCCCATAGTCCCCATCCTCGTTGTCACTAAATGGATCGAATTCACCTGCCTATGTATGCTGTTCCTCTTCAGTCGCCTGTTTGTCTTCACGTGAGAGATATTCATCCATTATTGCGCTCTGTTCTGCCTCGAAACCAATCCGCGGTGTACGCATAAATAGCATCAGGTCTTGGACGCTTCTAGAGCTGAGAGCCCCGGCGGTAGTGACAGACGTCTCGAGCAGATTTAGAGAGCCGTTCTATCCCTGCACCAGTAGCTGGGATTGAAGAACCAATGCGGGCCAGACTTGGAAGTGGTGGGAATTCATGCTCATGTTCTTTTCAGGAGACTCGAGGACTGGACCGAATAATTGCTGTTGGATATATTAGTTTATAAATAGACACAAGTGGCTATATCACATAGCACTGTCAAAATGTAAGAAAAGCTCATCCTATTGGCCAGTCTTTAATTGTTGAGCTAATTCTAGTTCACATATTATCTCAAGCTCAGAGATAGCTGTAACTGAGGGTTGAGGCTTAGCCGGTGACTGGGTATCTAGAAGGCGCTGCTGATAGGGTGCAGGGTAACGTCCAATACTCCCACGATAGCGTCGCCAGTCGGTGACCCGGCCATCCAAATCCTTCTCACAGAAGAATTGAAGCTTTGATGTGGTGCAATAATTGTGCCAATTTCATAGAGGTCGCTATCCATCTGGTCGGTCAGCTTGTAAGAGCTTCTTCTTTGCTGCGTGGAGGGCACTTAGCATCAGCTGCTGCCAAATCACCTTCTTTCGCTGAAGCTGCCAGATCGACTTTCCCAGCTGGCTAAAAAGCTTATTATAGATGCTAAAGATCAGATAAAGAGTCACATCTCTCGTCTGTAACAGGAGAGAGGTGAATCTGAAGAACAGTTGCGTTACCTAGAGGAGATACTCAATATGGCGCCATTCTTCTACGCCAAGGGCGAAAAGATCCTGCTCATTGTTCTCGCAAAACTTATTTAAGGAGGGCTGTAGTCGCTTTACACGTCGGAGCATAGAAAAGGTCGAATTTCAGCGATTTTTTACGTCCTGAATAGGGACGAGCTTTGGCTCTTCCATCTGAAGGTTAGAGAAGGCATCTCGAAGCTGGGGGCTGGCATTTGTATAGATAGCCAAGTTGCGCACCTAGGATATGAATTAGGAAAATAAGAGAGATGTAAGAGGAAAGAGCATACCTTATTTAATGTATCCACAAAACTCGCTTTTTTGCTGTCTCACGCGAAGGGACTCCATGCGAGCTTCAGACCATTCTGTCTCTGCCATCTCATTCTTTGTTTACTTTCATCTGTCTAAGGAGCTCCTTTAGGCTTAGCTGGACATATGTGCAATATATGGAAAGCATATAATATTAGAACTCTCACTTAGCTCTTGTGATCAAATAGCGTTATTTATGTAGACTATCACGGTGTCATTATTTGACGCATTATCAGTAGTGTTTACGAGTAAGGACACGTCAGCAGTTCAGGGGCGTGCAGGATATTCAGGTGCAGAATAGTGGTGTTCAGGGCATTCAGGTGAATGGGCTGAAGGGACTGAAGAGTAGGGCGGCAAGAGGGAGTTTCCGAACGAATAAAAAAAACGGGTGAATGCGGACATTCAACAGTGAGGATGCGCTGGTGGTCACCCACTCAACTACTAACACCAGCGTGTGGCTTATGTACGACCAGTAGTGGGTTGCGGCCCGGGTGAGAAATAGGCGAAAAGGGCGGGGACTTTAAAGGGGAGCCATTTTCGGCGTTATTTTAGTCGCTAATAGAAGCCTGGGAACAACTATCAAAGTTGAGCGTCAACACTACCTAGGACCGGAGGATGACTAATAAGACTATGCAGGTGCGCAGAATAGTGCCCAGGTGGGGTTATAGGGCAGGCGGCTAGGCGTCCAAAGTTACGGGTGGAAAGCCGGCCGTTTCTGGCCTCAAAAGCGGTCATTTTCGGTGTCAATTCCACAGGTCCTCAAATTCTAGTTGTAAGTATGTGGGTCTAGATATATATTTCTGAAGAACGCTTTCCATATTGCAATTTTCTGTACTTTCACAACTAATTCTGGTTTAAAATGTAAGCAGCGGGGGAACTCGAGTAATAATACTACAGTACGTACACAATCACAGCCGAGATCGACCTGATCTTCGAGATATTGGCGTTGTGCGAGAGTCACAGCATCCCCCGAAGACTACATGTGCGTACAACTTCGGGCACAAGCTCGTTTGTCCTTTAAGATAAGTTTATTCAAAAATTAGGAAAAATTAGGAAAAATTAGGGAAAAGAAGGAACTATATCAACCTTCAAACACCCCAGCTATGATGATGTTGAAAGACAACACACAAGACCACAAGGAAAAATGGCCACCACAATGCAAGAGACAAACCACCATCTATATCAACAGATACCAACACTTTTGCTCCGACCCTACACTGAAATCGGAGTAGAGTGTCCCTATTTTATCTTTCTCTTTATTTTCTCTTCGGTTGGACCTGTCATCCGACCTCGTCTGTGGTCATCCAGACCACAACTTTTGAGTTGTTTTCGTCGTTTAGATTCGGTTTCGACGTAGGCTGACTCCGAGAATATTGTTGAATTTCTGGAATGCCATGTCGAGCGTCCCTATTACAAGAATGAGGTAAAGGCGAGGTGTGGTTGTGTCAGGACCACGGGGAATTGATAGCGCTGACATGGTGTTCGGCGAAACGAAGTGCCGAAGGTTGACTGGCATCGTTTCATAGGAGTGGAAAAGGATCGGAATCCCAAACGGAAGAAATTCGAATGCATTTACTCCTCTGACGCCCAGCGGGACTCGCGCAGCGGCATCTCCTCGCCAGCCTGCTTGCGGCTTCCGTCTGCCTCGCGCTTCCACGCATAGTACTCGCCGAGACGGATCTCAGCGTAGCTGGCGTAGTCGAAATCGATCTGGGAGATTTGCGCTTGGATGAGTGCCCAAACGCCCCTAGGAGATATTTTTAGCATGGTACCGCCATCACGCTGTTTTACCAATTGTGTTCGCTGTACTCACCAGTAGAGACCGGGAATGCCACGGAAGCGGTCAACATCCTCGTACAGCCGGTCGACAATCTCAGCCTGGGACGAAGCATCAAGACCGCGTTGTTCACAGTAGCTCTTCGTGTACTCAGTAAGGAACTGACGGCGCACAGACTTTGTGGGCATCATGTTGTAATCGCAATCGTAGCCACCCCACTCAGCAAGGTGGTTGGAGATATCGAAGGCCGCGGGCGCAGGGACGGCATATTCATAATCGATGAAGTTGACAGGCGCGATACCGTCTTCCGGGGTGGAAAGACTGTTCTCACTCGGAAGGACAATGACGTTGGCACAGAGCAGATCGCAGTGCGAGAAGACGAGCTATGAAACGAGCGATTAGTCATGTATTCAACAACGCAATGCCCGTTTTCAGTGGATCGAGACAGGGAGCCACATACCCCGTCTTCACCAATGCCCTTCCCATCATCCAGGATATCCAAAACCCACTGCAGCTCTGCTTGTAGACTCAAACGGCGAGCACGCTGCTCGGGTGTGGTGACGGGCAAAGCCAGCACCCACTTCTGTAGCACAGCCCACATAGACGGGCCGGCGCGCCGGGGCTTGATTACGGTGATCTCATCCTGGGAGGCCACGATCTCGGTCACAGAGGTATCCTTGGCAGGCGCAGCTCCGCTACTAGGCAGGACGGCGTGCCATTGCGCCAGGCGGCGGGCGACACCGCGCCAGATAGGCGGGGAGACTAGATCCTGGTGACCACAGGGCTTGCCTCGGATGAAGCGATAGAGCAGGCCGTTTTTGAATCGAGCGAGGAGGGGCGGGGCCAGGCCGCGGCTGGCCAAGAGTGCATGGGACTTGGTTTCTCCTAATGATAATTGATCTACTTCAGCATATGTCGCAATGGGCAAGGGAGGCGCGGAGGGGCTTTTTTTTTGTCTGAGAAGTGGGAATTTTGACCAAGGTTGTCAGTCAGGGGGATTTTGCTCGTACTTTCGCGATCTATGAGGACCTCTGTGCCATTTCCGTACGCCCTCATCAGTACTGCCTCATTGTCTATTTGTTCCTCCGTCAGGCCAGGTTTCAGGTTGATAATTTTCAAGAGCTAAGGAGCGGTTAGTCTCAATTGGATTCTGACGACCTTGTTGCTGGTCTCCTGGGAAGAAACACTGGGGTAGAGACACACAGTGTTGGTGATGCCGTCGGTGAACCGCACGAACTCAATGTTGTTGCCAGGGCCCTCCCAGTCAGGGTTGAGGGTCAGGATTAGCCTGAGAGCAGATGCCTGGGAGTCTGCATGGCTGTATGACAGGGGGATGTATCGGAATTCTGGCGTAGTCTCTGTCGAGCCCATGTTGGAGTTGAGTGGAGCGGAGGTGGGAAAAGGGGTATAGGCGCAAGTTGGTTTGTGTGTCAGGATGGTTTTGTACTATTTAATTAGTCCAAAACTGCTTGAGAGGCACCGCCCCTATATCAGTAACGAGGTCCTCGAATTCAAGATTTAGGCAATTGCACAAGGCCAGGCTGCTAGCGTAGTGTGCGAATGCAGATAAATTCTAGAAAGAAATAGAGCACAACGTGGAAAAGCGGATTCTGTATTATGCCGAAAGTACAAAAGATTCAGGGGCGAAGAATTCAAGGACGCTATCGATGGCGGGGAGGTTAATGAGACAGCGAGGGGAGGTCTCGTGCTCCCGACCCGTGATTGGAAGACGGACGATTTGCTGGGCCCAGGGTACTTAAGGGCAAAAGGGACTGTCCACCGCCACTAGTAAAACCGGGATGTATTAAGTTTTGAATTTTTTCAGATAACTTATTGGTTAAATACCTGTAGAACGATACCCTAATGTTGTATCCTTTGTTTTAATTGCAATTTGGTGGCGGAGTGGTACTAAAGCATCTTCACTGTACAATGTACTTTGTACATTGCTTGTGTCGAGTCACGGGTCGATCACATGAAAGACAAGGTTGAACCAAAGCAGGTAGGTGGTCACATGAATCAAGAAAGCCCTGATTAGCCAGCCCTACTTACCCAATCCGACAAAATCCCTCAACAAAAAAAAAGCAAAATTAGTCATAAAATCCAATATTAGTCAACAAAATGGAAAAACCCTTTCACCGAAACCCAATCAGCTCTAGCGTATATCGATTTCCGGACACATAAATACGACCTCCTCGCCCGCGCCTTTACTCTTTTCTTCTTTTCTCTCCATCATCAGTAGAGGTTTACATAACTTATGTAAATTTCAACGGGGCTCCACAATGTGGCTTGCTGAGGGTTATCCTATGGCTTCGGCCATGATGGGTTTTCTTCCGTTCCCGGCCCTGGAGAGTGAAGGCGTCTCTCTTTTTCCCAATCACTTTATGGTTATGCTAGGGTATCCTTCGGGAAGCCCCATGGGTGTTAGCTGTGGAGAGGACGTCACATACCAATTTTTTCAGTCACTGTTATGTGTTCTGAGTTGTCTCGGCTTGCTCTGGTCTTCAAATTTGATCAGAATTGGCAATGGTGTAGCATTGGGTATCTCACTATTTTCAACCGGTAATCGGCCTGGTGTAAACCTTGCGACGTATGGAATGTGCAACCCATCTTAGAAGAGCCTCCGAGACGCTAGTCTGAGCTCTTGCGATATGGTATCTTGCCAAGATGATTCCTATAATATTCGGGATTTTCTTGCCAGACTATATCGTTGATGTCGGCATGCCGAGTACGTCACGCTACATATGTGGCGCGACCGAATGAGTACGTGTATTACTGGAGCGAAGATTTCAATTCAATGTTGTCATCACCGTCATAACCGTTGAATTTTCTATCGTGTACCGTTTTTACATGTCCCCAATCATGCATGCCCAGCATTGCCAATCTGGATGCGCTGTCCAGTCCACCTGTCATCACTGCGCAACACCGGCCAGCTAGTACCATCAGCCTTGGCCAGGCTCAAATCTAGCTTGGTGCCGAGCACGCGGAAAGTTGACTTCTCCGGGTCAATCGGCGCAAAGAGAGCATATGTATCCTGGTAGCGCTTGTTGTCCGTGGTAGGAAGGTCGAAGACAATCGAGTTGGCAGCAAACTCAATCTTGACCCGTTGCTTGTCAATCTTCTTAAGGTACAGGGAGACGTTAACGGCGGTGGGAGTCTGGTAGAAATCGTTTCTGTAGAATCCGAAAAGCATGTCAGTTTGCTGTTTTCAAGACCGTATAGAGCCGGTTCGCCTCTCTTGTCGTATACGCACCTGACTGTGTCCACCTTCTCCTCACCCAGGGGCTTAGCCTTGCCAACAAACATGTGCCTCGTCTTCTCTGTGCAGCCGGGGATCTTCAGGAATTCATCGAACTCGAGCACTCGGCGTTTGCAGCAGGACCACCCTTTGCTGCCCTCATGGAAGACCGGCTGGCCCGGGTGGTGGACGCACTTCTCCTCATCGCGAGCAGTCGAACCGGTGTAGGACGCGCCGCAACCCCTCCGACGGCATGTTGCGTTGGCCGGGATCTCCGCATCAGGATCATCAGACTCAGGCTCCTCGACTACTGGCTTCGCAGGCGGCGCGGCGGTTGCGATGTTTGGGGTAGCGGAGACGGGTAGCCGCTCAGACTTCTTCGGCTCAGCTGGTGTAGGAGGAGCAATGACTTCCTCGGCCTTGGAGGGCTCGGGGGCGGGTGTGTCATCGACGGTGGAATGCTTGCCCGTTGTGCATGGCGGGATAGCAAGGAATTCCTCGAAGGTCAAGACGCGGGGCTTGCAGCATTTCCAACCTGAGAAGTTAGCGGGTAGAAACGTAGCAGAAACTAGAGACAAGATCAAGTGTCACATTGCGCTGCCGCAATGGTCCACCGTGAACCCTTGGTGCACTCATGGGACACAGATCTGGAATAGCTTGAACACCAAGGTACTTACCTTTCTGCCCCTCGTGGAACACTGGGGGGCCCGGATGATACACGCAGTCCTCTTCCGGGTCGGTGAATGTCTTTCCACACGCTTTGTGGACGCACTTGCCTGCCATGATGTATAGCAAGACGGATTAGAAGGGACCTCGGGAATTGACGAGACTGAGTCAGAGAAAAGATTGTAAAGTGTTCTGGAGAGAATGGCGCAGGTTGCCTAACAGGGTTTAGCGGGGAAGCTCGAATGTTCCATCGCGGAGAACTCTCTGACCGCATTCGCGTCACGGCACCGGCCATATCGAAAACCACGGTTGAGTTCATTCTCTGCATAATCGATATTGTCTCTCCATGTTTCCTACGCGTGCCCTTCTCAGTCCAGCCCGCTTGACGCTGTTTACACGCGCGGGCTGTGGCCTGTGCGATACCGCCAAAAACACCGTGCTTCAGCTCCAGAAACGGCGCTCCTTTGAATACGTGGAAGCGGACATCATGGAGCCTGGGAACAAATCTTGGAAGGATGTTTACGAATTTGATGTTCCAGTCCTTCACGTCCAGTCAGTTCACAACGGGTTGCCCAAGGAGGCCAATCTCTCCGACGCGCGCAAACTGTTCCATCGATGGACAGAGCAAGAAGTCGAGCGATCGGTAGACGAAGCGGAAAAACAGTCTTCATGAATTCTATTCTGGATGAGAATTATATGTTCAACTGTATCGATTGCCATAGTTCGCTGGCGAGAACTGAACATCTCACACCGGGGGCATCCTCCTATATGGAGGCATCGACATCATGATACCGACACAGTAATGCACATGGCGCTTGTTGCATTGCTTCTGCATATTTGCTTCTCCAGTCCTGTGGGCAGGGTCTGGCCTCCACATTCCACAAGGGGTTATCCTTCTGTATGTATCTGATCTACGTATGTCTAACCGTCTGGTGGATGATGGCAGATCCACCTACGGAGTATGATGTCCCCAGGTGCCCCATCATTGTACAATATGTAGTCCTGTTCCCACGGGCGTCTTAATGTGTCAATTGCATACTTGATCTGCATTTCCAATTATTTTTGCTACTCAAATTGACCTTACCTGGCAATTTCGTACAGATGCCTCAATACTTGTGGTATTCGCCACAGCTCAGACATTTTCTCTCGTCTTAGATTTCCCAAGTGCGTTGATAATTAGAAAATTAAGACTCACACGTTCTGAGTTCCTTTTATACTTCGATGCTGTAGATGGGTCCCAAAGCACATACATATGTAGTAACTAACAGAAGATTCGGCTAGGCGGTAAGGTAACAATCACCCCTAAACTCTAACTACCTACATATACTCATCGGTAGCCCTTTTGAGGTATCATCGTCACTACGCAGAAGATGTGGCATACAATTCGGGGCATTTGATATGATGTGGCGAGGTTGGACTGGACCTTGGACTCTTATTTCGTCTTGAATCTCTCGTCACGATCTGAGTTTCACAACCTGCCGCCATCTTGACCCTCACGGTTCTGCCACGCGCCTCCACGCGCCTCCACGCGTTTTCATCAATTATTCCTTGGTGAATCATTTCAGACCAATATATTATTGAATTTCTCGGTAGGTGGTTCTTAATTCCGATTTGTGGTGCTGGCGTAACATCTTTCGCATGGCACGCTGCAAATGGTTGTTCTCACTTCAGCGTGAGTCGTACGTATTTCGCGAATCTACCAACTAACATCTTCATGCCGTTCAGTTTCACTTGATCATTTCAAGAAATCCAGTCTTTGATATTGGGTCAGTGAATTCAGAGAAAAAGAAAGGAATTCCTCTTTGTCGCTGGCTTTATGGGGGACTTGTGCGGCCTCTATCAAGCTGCACTCAACTCAGCCACAACTCAGCCAGGCCAACTTTATCATCCCAAGTCCGAGGAATGCAGACTAATACTTCTATATTCATAGACCTAATCTCTTCCTCAATTGATTCAGCGAACTGACTCGGACAATGGAAGATCAAACGCCAATACCGAACAGCGCCGACATTCTGCGGCCACCATCGGCTCCATTGTCAACGACTTCTTCAGCACAGTCAACCCACCCGCTGGGATTTCCTTGTGTGAAATGCAGAGCAAGACATAGGCGCTGTGACCGTACTAGACCAGGTAAGTACCCCGTGACTTGATAGGGCAACGAGGATTGCGAGTGCATTTATGACTGACTAGTTGCATAGTCTGCGAGAACTGTCGAAGCATGGGCTTTGAAGCTGAATGCTCATATCCTTCTGCGTCATTACCAGTGTATGTTTATCCGTTTGATATCAGCTTGGCCGAGTCAAGTAGATCTGATTCCTTAATTGATTCAGGGAACTGGACCTGACAATGGATGGTCAAACGCCAATAGCGAATGGCGCCGCCATTTCACGGCCACCATCCGCTCCATTATCAACGAGTTCTTTAGCACCGTCAACCCACCCGCTGGGATCTTCTTGCTTGAAATGCAAATCAAGGCACACTCGCTGCGACCGCATTAGACCAGGTAGGTACCCCGTGACTTGATAGAGCAAGGAGAATTGCAAGTGCATTGATAACTCACTTTTTATATAGTCTGCCAGAACTGTCAGAGCAAAGGCTATGAAGGCGAATGCTTATATCCTTATGCGGCCTTACCGGTGTACGTTTATCAATGATATCAGCTTGGCCGAGTCAAAATAGCTAATTTTATATCATCTAGTACCGAGAACAGAAGTGCCGAAAGCAGAATCACTCAGAAGATTGGTGCTCCATTCTCAGGGCCAATGTTCGATAATCCCTCTGCTTCACCCGCAACAGGTGCCAAAAGACCAAGGGTTGCAGACAGTTCTGAACGAACTGGACTTGTCAATAATGTGGTTGGATTACACATCCAAAATGATTTCAGCCATACCCAGCACACGCAGACACTCCAGCAGCCTCCTGCAAAACGGCACAAGATATCCGAACTTGGCTCTGGAAGTGCTGCTAGGCAACCTGCATTAGAACCGGGTCAAACCTCCACCGGTATGCCCAGTGGTAGATCGGGTCCTCCACCACGTAGTTTCTCTCCTACTCTGCCTCAAGATGAGATGGAGCTCCGGTGCAACTTGACTACCGAAATCAACGTTCAGAGATTGAAGCATCGCAACCTTGCAGCGGGACCTCTACGCGACATTCTGAAGCTACTCATGAAAGCCAAGACTGAACGCCCAACCACTGAACCCACGATTGCTATGCCATTCAATGATGAGTGGCGCGAAGAAGATGATCTTATGCAAATTGGAACAGTCAAGATGGAAAAAGGTGGTCGATGCTCTCGTGCTCTTCTCAGTCGTTTCGAAAACTTCTTGTATGGCCCATTAATGAGCCCCGAGGAGAAGAAGATGCAAGAGCGTATCATATGTGTTGAAGAATGTCTGTCAAGCGCGTCGGCACCACCGACGTCCGATCACAACGCCCTGTTCCTCCATCGCCTAAAAAGAATCATACTTAATCCAGATTCCTATGGCTTGAACGAGAAAGACTCACGCATCGGACTCCTCCGCAACCAGATCCTTGCAGCAATAGCGACTGACTCGAAGCTGAGTCCTGCAATCCGAAAGAAAATTGCGGACCTCTTAGACCCAGATGGAGAGATTGCCAATATCAGCGCAGACAGTCCAGATGCCAAAATGGGAACTCCAATCTCAACAAGGAAGGTGCCACCCAAGCCTACCTCTTCACGCGTGCCTTCCTCCCACAGCCCAGGAACGACGTCGAGGACAACAACTCGTAGACAAAACTCTGTCGACTCTCTGTCTCCTTCACCCACCCATCCCCCTCCTTTCCCCTCCCTATCTCTTTCAACAACCCATCCTCCTCCTTTCCCGTCTTGTTCTTCATCTTTATCCACACCACCTCTGGAACTCATTGATCCGACTGATGACACCATGTCGTCGTCCTTTCCTTTCATCGTAAAGCGTACGCCCAAGAAGCGTGTCGCTTCTGGCAGCCAGTCGTCGCAGTCCAACGACACTGCGGCGTCGCCGTTCATGGAGCCGGCGTCCAAGAAACGTCCTGCTCCTGGCCCCCAGTCTAACGACATCGTTGCCCCATCTCCGAAGCGTGCTGCTTCTGGAACCAAGTCATCAATCCCTGACAACATCATCGCCCCACCTCATAGGCGCTCTGCTTCTGGCAGCCAACTATCCAGCTTCGCTATCCAAAAGAAACTTTGGAATATCTTCCTTGCTAGGCAGGCTCATATGATTCCCATCCTTGATTTCAACAAACTCAAAGTCGCCTTCGCCATGGCCGTGAACCAAGGCAACATTGAACCTGCGGGTATTGATCCGACCCTCGGGCTCTGTCTTGCAATCGCCTGTCACCTCACTGGCGATAAGGACATCTGGGAACCCAGAAAATGGTACGATGCCGCTTCATCCCGCATTGCTGCGACCCTGAACTCGCAGGGCCCCTCGCTTCAATCTTTCCAGCAACAGATTCTCCAAATCCAGTACCTCCATATGGTTGGCCACCTGAGAATGGCCTGGGAAACATTGTCCCTGGCCATTGGCAGAGCACAGCCACTTCGGATGCACACCATGCACGGTGGCCGTCTCGCGGTGGATGAGCAGTCCTTGCAGCAGCTGCGGCTAGTGTGGCAGTTTCTTTGGACTAAGAAGCTATCTCTCGCCCTGCAGTTTGGGATTGTCGATCAGTCCCTCGAAACCTTTTACGATTTACCAATGCCGATGCAGTCGCACATTGAGATTAACATGGGAAGTGACCTTTCCCATATCGACCACCAACACCGCGCGACATCTGCTTTCTTCATCGCTTGTGCCTCGCTTTACAAGAACACCGATGACCTCATCACTGTCGAAAATAACCTACGTGTGACTCGTATGGAATGCCCCATCAAATGGCTTTCCATCATGGACCTACGTGATTTCCAGGGACTCAATCGCAATCTGTCCAGCTGGAAAAATGGCCTGCCCGAATTTCTGGGGTGGAAGGAATCTAACATCGATTTGGACATGGAGAAAGACCCGATCATTCGTCGCTTGCGCTTTGTTACTCACATGCGATACACTTACTTCCGGCTGCGCCAGTACCGCCCTTTCTTTGTTTTGTGCCTACGACTTTCCTACCCGTGCAACTGTGAAATGGCTCCTCATGTGCCCGGCAAGGATATGGACTCTGTAAATGTGGATCCTGTTCTCGCCCTGGTTCAGGATGGTGCTATCAAATGTATTACCGCCGCCCAAGACATTGTCAAAACACTCTGGGCTTCCTTCACCCGGGAGAACAACGACGATTCAAAGTTTGAGCAATTGGACTACCTGTACGCCGCCGCCCTCGTAGTCATTGCCTCGCGGAGTTTCCCAATGAGCTTATTGCAGCGAGTTGAATCTGGATGCACGACTAGATCGGCCACAGCGATGGAATCGCAGTATCACCGAGCAGAAAGTCTTCTACGCAAGTATGAGGAATGCTGCGAACGTGCACCTAAGCTCAGGCGCCGAATCGGACGGTCTCGAGCCCTGATGAACCTTGCAGAGAACGCAGTCGGTACAAGCCATGCGGGTATCTCCGACAATGACCTGCGACTGGCGCCTATTGTCTGGCACCAAGTTTACGACAGACTTGGATTAGATGTGCCCTTTGCAAGGTTTCCCGAGGATGCCCCTACCGCCATCCCCGGCCGTAGGCTTGCCTTTGGTTGGCTGGAGAGTATTCCGGTAGACCTGGATACTCAGGAGAAGTAAGCCCCGGAAAGATCAGCCGACATATTTGTGATGTAACGAATTTGCGATAGTTCTACCCAATGGAATCTCCTTTCTCAATGTTCCACAGAATATATAGATAGCTAGTATAAGAATATATAGATATCTAGTATAACCAACTATGATTCGCTTTGTGCTTAGTCATGGGAGACGGTCCTCTGCTGGTATATCAGAAAGTCAAGGAGCTGGCCACCTATAGTAGAACGGATGTTGAAGATTGAAGCTTGACGGGAAGAAAAGGATGCTAGTGGCATTTGAGATATGGAAAGAAAGGGTGAGAAAGGAATTGGAGCCTGTTGGGTCAATGACCGGCTCTGCTATTGTAGGGGAAACTGGACTTTGTGGTTGAAAAACGGCAAGACGTAAACATCTGCGATTGACTCAAGCAATAAATGAACGACGTTCAGACCAATATCGTGACTTGGTAGAAGAGTAGTCTTTGAGGGGATGACTGAGCAGGATCATGGATATGACATCCATTATGTAGATATTAGATCCCTGGAAACAACTGACCAGAGACAAGAGATGAGGCCTCAAGTAGCACAGTGGAAAATAAAAAGGGATCTCGTGGAGGGATCGAGCTCTGACCAGTATGGGTTTCCTAATCAGGAAATAGGTCCTATATATGGGAAGTAAAAGGCTTCTCACCTGCCAATCCGCCCCAATTAGCTTGGCAGCTGGGGAGCCCGAAATCGATCTACAGAAGCTGAGTATGCAAACCTGCTCCGGCCGTTCGACATATTCTTAAGGCGGCTGAGGTTTATGGAGGATGACCTCAAACCACCAGGTATTTTATGAGAGGGTCCCTGACCTGGAGTGGGTGGCGGTCCTGACAGGAGGTGTTCGTGTATTGGCACCTCTCTTTTTATTTTTTTCTTCCTTCCAGCATGAACTTGATAGATATTGCTTTCTTCTCTTATATATGGCTTTGGTCTGTCTAAACCTGCTTGTCTCCCGTAGAGGTCTTCCTAGTATGCATATTGCTGCGTTCTATTTCCCCACGGATCACAGAGGACACCTGAACATGCATCCTTTGTCCTTGTCGTTCTGTATCTGATCTTTCTTGCACAGTACGGCCCTCCCAAGGTTGTGATCCTGGGACTGGCATCGTTATTCGTCGAACGCACATTGACATCTCCTTTCACTTTCTCCCAGGTTATGGGCCATCGTTAGCTTCAAAAACAACGTTTCCATCTCCACTCGGCATCGATTATATGAACACCGGCCAAGCTAGTCGCTCAATTGATCATCCTACATAACATGATCGTTTCAACATCGAGTACAGGCTCCTCATCGCCATCTCATCTACCACGCGTACACACCCACCGACGGCCCAGAAAATCATCGTTTCTGACGGGTCCACATCCGCCATAGGCCCTTCCAGTCACAATCGTTGACACCTATAGGGTCCCAAAGCCAATAGGTGCCGAAGAATCGCCCGTCATCATGCGCAATCGCGTTGATGCTCGCGGGAATCTATTAAACGCATAGGATCATCGTGCCCACACTCGCCCACTCTTACTTCCTCAACTATTTAAAAGTCACTAACACCAAACAGATCCTTCCTTCCACAACCATCTGTCTCATTACCACCGAATAACATCGTGTCCACACCCCCCAAAGACCTTTTGCCACACTGCACAAACCGGACAGCTTACATCTCACGTCTACGTATCTCTACGTCTGACTAAATACCGTCGGTGCAGCTCACAACTACCGCATTCTATATACTCACAGTACCGGCCCTCTCGCATCCATCTCCTAGAGGCCTTTCTTTTTATCGACGCTTTATCAACGCGAGTCTTTACTCACTAGTCCGCGTCTGGAAGCGGTATTTTCTTAGGAGCGTTCTCTCGGATCCAGCCTGGCCTGATCATTGTCGCTATGGTTCCAATCTTAGGATCACTCGCTTCCCCCCAACTTCTTCCCTCACTTCATCCTTACTTCCTTCTCACTTCGTTCTTACTTCCCTTTTTCTACAAGGTATGGATAAACACTCCTAAACCCACTGGGGCGTCTAAGACTCATCTATCTAGGAACCGCATCTCCGGTATACCTATCGATGAGAACGGACTACAAAAGTCCCGAGATCACAAGGGACCCAAAAGAAAAGACGCGCGCAGCCTCCAGGGGAATGAAGACCAGCTTGAAAACGACAAACCGTAGCCGCAAGGTATCAACGCCGCTGCCAACACAGCAAAGTCCGTCAAAACAATAACTGAGGAGCTGACTGTCGATATTATGTTACACAACTACCAAGAGACTTGCGGCCAGGAACCAACGCTAAATCCCGCATCCAGCGCTCAGGTGCCGGCCTGGAGCTTATTAGGCTCCTTCCAAGCTGTATCGTGCGATACGACTGTCACAGACGACCATATTCGTTTTGAGCCAGTCGTCTGGAAGAGGGTCTACGATAGACTTGCCTTGATTTTCCATTCGAGAGGTTGCCGGGACACCTTCGCTCCGCCGGTTGTGCAATTTCTGGCCGTAGAATGACCCTGGGATGGGTCGAAAGTCCGCCTAGTGACATGGACATCGTCTAGAAACGTGGATATTCATGCGGATCTACCTGATGCTAGCACTGCAAATCCACCTAGTAACTTACTTGCCCATGTTAGTTGTTACAAATGAAATTACTTCTAAATAACTCTTTGATAAGTAAACATGGTGTCTGACCAGTGGTTGTGCTTGATCATGGAAGTCTAAGTTACCTGATCAAGCATTTGGGTCAGAAGCCCATCGAGCAAGAGATATAAGAGACATAGCACTGCTTGGAGACAGGACGGGTGGCTTTGGATGCAAAGCAGTGTAAATAAAAGTTATCCTGTGTGGGGGAATCACTCTGGCCAGTTAAATCGGTATGTCCTAATTAGGAAATGGTCCTATATAGGTCACTTAAGAGATATCCTGTTACTTCCAAACCCTCCCGGTTAGCTCAGTGTGTGGGGCCTCCGTAGTCTATGTACCTCATGGGACGCTGAGTTTGTATCACCTTCAATTGACTGTCGGCTTCGCCACCCCAGGGGACAGTTCAGGTGCCTGCCATTCATTAGGTTGAACAAGGTATATAGATGGTAGTCCCCGCACTGGGTAATAGCTGTGGCCAACTTCGAAGGGGTGTGGCGGTCCCAACGGACGAGGTTCGTGGGTGGGGGTGCCTCCTTTTTTCCATTTTGATATTGAGGAAACCCCTAAACCTGTACCTAAACCATCCGGATCATCAGGTTGATAGCAGCAGCACGAACTAAGTGGATCCATATCATCATGTATGTCTGTAGTAGTGTTGATGAATGAAATCTCCTAATTTGATTTGTGTATCTATATTATATGCGTATGTATCTGTGGTTTACCTTGATCACGGGGCTGTGAATCGCAATTAAGACTTGGCATCACATACAACGAAGGCTTTGTAAGCTCCGCAAAATATAACTTTGAAAGAGTGTAGGGAAAAAAAGATGAACGGTGTTCACCCCAGGCCCAAGATCGTATGGAATGCTTGAATTATATAGATCCATGCCTAGGTGGACTCTATCTACATGCAACATTGTAGGTAGTCCAGTGAGTGGGAACCAATCAAATGTTCTGAAATTTTGCGGAGCTCCCGAGGTATCCACTCGAGCTATGGTGGAGTAGGGTCAATTCGTCTGATAGCCAGTTTATTGGGTGTGATGCTTGAATTCCAAAGCCAAATGTGGTGATAAGATGCTGAAACTCAAGAAAATTAAAACAAAAGTAATACCGGGGAATTGAACTCTGAGCCTAGGGGGTTGACTGCATATAGGTGACTTCCCAATCGGGAAACATGTTCCTACCAGCAGATCTGCCCCGGTTAGCTCAGTGTGATGTGGGAGGCGTATGATATAGCTACTGGCGTGGGCGGAAGTATACAGTAAGTATGCCCTCCCCCAAACTGGTGTTATAGAGACGCGCTCTCCCACACCCACAGGGTAATTGACCGGCACCGAGTTCCTGAGGGGGTGGGGGTCCCAATGGGCTAGCTGTAAACAGCGGGTCTGCGCCATCTCTTCCTTTTTTTTCCGTGTATTGATCCTAATCCAAGGTCAAGATCTTCGGACTGGCACCGGCTTTTCCACACATTCTCATTTGTTGAATTTAGTGACATGCCAGATACAGTGAGAGCCAATGAAATGTTCCAAAATATGGCTATGAGCATAGAGCTAACTGGTTGTTTTATTGGCTTACTGTTAGCTTACTGTTGGGACGTCTAATTTGGGGCGTTCATCCAAATGTGGTGACATGCTGCTACGGGTGCGAGCATGCATGCTGATTTGCACGACATATTTAAACGTAAACCTGCACCTTCTCCTCCAAACCACCTATTTGATCAATCATACCCACAACATGCATTCGAATCCAATATATAGTCATGTCCAAGATCGCTATGGCGACCTGGCTGATCGCTCTTCCACCATTGAGCAGAAGAAAACCGAGCAAAATATTGCCCAAGCATTCGGCTACGAGGCTGCTGATCTCAGCTCAATTCCCCAGGCTGCAAACCTTGGAGTAAGCTGCGGGAATCCCTTGGCCCTGGCCAACTTGCGAGAGGTGAGTCTTATCGCTAACCAATCCTACGATGCGACTGCCTAACATTTGGTTCTAGGGCGAAGCAGTAATTGATCTGGGGAGTGGTGGTGGTATCGACGTGCTGCTGGCAGCCAAGAAAGTCGGTCCGAAAGGGAAGGCTATTGGTGTGGACATGACGAAGGTGAGACTCTCACTTCTATCAACGACTTGAGATACCCAATCTAAGACAAATGACATAGAGCATGCTGGAACTCGCTCGAAAAAATGCGGAGAAAGCGGATGCTTCCAACGCGTCCTTCGTTGAAGCCTCGATCACGTCTATTCCTCTGCCAGACCGCACTGCCACCTGCATCATCAGCAACTGTGTGATAAACCTCGTTCCTACCGTGGACAAGCATCTTGCATTCAAGGAGATGTTTCGCTTGCTGGAACCCGGAGGTCGTCTTGCTATCAGTGATATTTTGACTCGAAAGGAACTCCCCCAAGACGTGATCAACAGTCTTTCTTTCTACGTTGGATGCATTGCGGGCGCCAGCCAGGTTCACGAGTATGAGAAGTATCTGTCTGATGCTGGATTCAAAGGTATCTGTCGAAGTGTGATTGTGCGTTGTGCGTTTCGCTAACCATTCATTTCTTCTTAGATATCGCGATTGTCGACACCCGCAGTGACCTCAACATTTACAAAGATTTGGTTCAAGAGCAGATGGATCTTGGAAAGACGAGTGATCAGTCGGAACTAGGTGGTTGTTGTGGAGGACCACAAGGAAAGAATACTGCTGAACGCAACTTGCTGGAGTATGACTTTAATGAATGGGCTGGTGAGTCTTCCAGGCTATTCGATTGTTACACGAACACCGACTGATTTCACCCAGGCTCGTTTCAAATTTACGCAGTCAAGCAGTAGGAGAAATTGTCATATTGGTGAAACTAAACCTACATATCTCAAGATATTTCTGTCAGAACTCTAAGGAGCACATGGTTATCCACCCTGCATCCCTCCATCGGACTGTTCCCTTGCTTGAAACCACGCTCCATGCGATAGTACAAGACATCCAATTCCACGCCTTTAGTATTGCATTGGATCACCCATTGACAAGCTAAGGAACATAGAGTCGTATTGCTGTTGCTCGGAACACTTGCTTCAACGCTCTCTTGAGTCCCCTGATACTGGCTGGCCCCAAAGTTCGGTTCTAACGGTTGTGCCGAGGAAATATCCAAATGGGTCAAATTGTTGGCCCCGTTCAACAGTAACGGAATATCGAAGTCCAGCCCCATATCAGGCGATAACCCTGACGAATTCCACTGCTCCCAAAATGACAAGGGAGTTTGATTTTCCATATATCGCTGAGTCTCAGCATTACTCGTAAACGAGCCAGAGATCTTGAAATAGTCAGAATCTGAAGACCAGGGTCCTTAAATCTGGTGTCCCTACCGCCGATACCAATGTGTTTGGTTCGTTGTCATGGATGCTCCCAGCAGATGCATCGAAAGAGTCAAAGTTGATGTCTAGGGTAGACAGTAACCCTCTCATCCAGGCATTTTCAGATTGCAATTTGTCAAATGCCGATAGGGACGGGGGAGGTGTTGATGCGATTAATTCATCGTATTTCTTTGCTTTTTCCTCTAAGTCACGAATATATTCTAGCCGTTTTGCCCTTGAGCGCCGTTGATTATTGCGAATGCGGGCGAGATCTTCGCTCTACATGAGTAGAACATGAGTGGGATGGAATCAAATAAATAGAAAGATGGGGTGATTCCTAGGTAACCGACCTTGGTCTTGGTTTTAGGACGAGGCATAGTTCAAGTTGGACTTGTAACAAAGAGCTTGGGCTTGTGGGAGAAAGAGATGGAGTTGAAGACATCCAAACATTCCAAGGTTCACATATTATACATTAAAACTGGAGCATGGAAGCTGCTATTGTCCAATCAAACAAAAGTGGCATGTCACTGCTGAATAGATACCCCGCAGACCGTATGTAGGTGTGACTTCAAATTGATTAGGGCCGTCTCTCCAATTGATTATTGATATTCTATATATACATTTTGACATTAATCATTCCATGCAAATCGTCTCGCTATCAATTTGACAGCATATACCAAACCCAACAGCACAGGAACCTCTATGAGAGGTCCAACAGTCGCAGCAAGAGCCTGGTTGCTATCCGCGCCAAACATCGCCACCGCAACAGCAATGGCCAGTTCGAAGTTGTTGCTAGCGGCCGTAAAGCTCTGCACAGTGGCTAGCTTATATCCGAATCCCAGTTTGTATGCGACAAGGAGTGTCGCAAAGAAGATAATCAGGAAATAAACGATGAGCGGTGCTGCAACTCGGACCACGGAGACAATCTGCTGGATCACATGGCGGCCTTGCGAGGCGAATAACACAAGGATGGTAAACAACAGACCGATAAGGGACCATGGGCTAAGCCATTTCAAAAAGGTCTCATCGTACCATTTCGCAGAAATTCGTCGGAGCACGAAACGGGTGACAATTGCGGCACCTAGAGGGATTCCGAGAAACACCGCAACGCTTTTAGCGGCTGTTGAATATTCGAATGTGACTGGATCGCCGCTGATGACACTGATAAAGAATACCCCCATTGGGGCGAAAAGAACCATCTGTAGGACTGAGTTGAGAGCAACGAGGATGGCACAATACTCGTTATCGCCTCCAGCTAGCCCTGTCCAAACCAGCACCTAAAAGAAGGTAGCTATTAGCATAATCTTGTGTTCAAGGGTCGGTTTCTGAGTGGCGCAGGCTTACCATAGCAATGCATCGCGCCAACCCAACAACGATCAGTCCCTGTCGCAATTCTGGCTCGTCGGGCAAAAACGCCCATGCCAAGGCCAGCTAATAAATCAAGTCAGTGATAAAATTCTTACCATGGAAGTGTTGAATGACAAACCATAAGAAAAGGGGCAATAATCCAATTCAGAAGAACGCTAAAGGCCATCTGGACCCAAATTTCTTTCGCTCGGAAAACATGATGCAAGGATTCGAACCGAATCTTACACAAAATAGGGTACATCATGACCAGTAGACCAATAGCTGGGAGTATAGAATCAGTAAGAAACCCGAAAGCATTTAGACTCGCTCGCACGTACCAATGGGAACAGAAACTCCCACGAATTTTCCCTTTTCTAGGGCAGGGCCTGTGCTGGGGACAAAGTTGCCCAGAATGATTCCAATTGCCATAGCAAGAAAAATCCATACTGCCAAGAACCGGTCGAGGATACCGAGACTTGAAAACATCGACTGTTTCTTCGGTGGCTCATCTGGAGAAGATATCTCCCTTTGCTTTTCAATGTCGCATGTTTGAGGACTGGAGGAGGCATCTAAACATGCCTGTGTGCGTGTACACGCCATAAGGAATGATCAAAGTTTTTCTTTTGGATCAAACGGCTTGTTGAATAGAAATGGTTGAAATTTTGAATTTCAGGTAGCATCGACTTTTATATTGGTCCAGCCCTGTGAACATTTCAAATGCATAGAACTTAAAGGGCAGGGATATGTCACGGGCGGGCGCTGATTGGCCGAAGAATCGGAGTGGGCCCGACCACTCAGAATGCGGGAGCGACATTCCTTAGAGGGAGGCGGGGTATTCTTCAAGGTATTCTAGTCGCAGTCAACAGTCTTATAACATAGCAGTGTCAAATCTCTCAATCCTCAATTTCAATATTTGCCTTAGCCAAAATGTCAGCCGAGGTTCCATGGCATGCTGCATATCCCGCACCAAGGGGCGCGGCATCCTCCATATCGCGAGAAGAGCTATTGCAATGGATTCGAGACGGTAAACAAGCAGGCAAAGACTTTGTACTTGTTGATTTACGTCGCACGGATTACGAGGTATGGGCAGTTTGAAATAAGAATTGACACCTTCATGCGCTGATACGACAAAGGGAGGAACGATTCAAGGGTCATTGAACTTGCCAGCTCAGAGTTTATACCCCACGATCCCGACACTATATTCTCTTGTATCGAACAGCAGCGTGAAATACGTCATTTGGTATTGTGGTGCGTTTCCCTTATATATAATATAGCTTCCTGAAATGCGAATACTGATCTACGTTCAGGGTCATCTGCGGGTCGAGGTACTCGTGCAGCCGGCTGGTTTGCGGATTATCTCGAAGATCAAAACGATACTGAGATTAAGAGCTTGGTTCTCTCGGGGGGCATTAAAGGATGGGCTGCGGCGGGTCTGGAGTATACATCCTTGATGACAGGGTATGATGCCTCTGTCTGGACAAAGTAAAAGTATTCAGTCGAAGTAATTAATTGAATGACATGATGCTTGTTGCCTCATATTTTAACAAGGAGTCTCGAAAGAGCTGTTTTACCAAGAAAAACACCTCGGAGGTTATAACATGCTCTAGCATATCGCCCGATCAGGCAAGCTGCAGTCCCCTTTTTTGAACCCAGATATTGCATTACTGGTTGTGGGACTACTGTCCCACGAGTCTCAGGTGGTCTTTGATCCCTGATCTGCATTGTGTATACGTGCAAGTTTTCCTACGATGTGAGGTGAGATAAGCAAGAGTAAAATTAAGCTCATGATTAACCTAGCGGGGCTACCTTAGAACCTTGGAAAGGGCCTCAACCCAAACACTCGGAATGGCCGATCAAAGGGGGACAGTATTCTCTTAGGCAGTCCTGCAGGCTAAAAAAAGGTATATCTGGAGCTATTGATCCTTGGGAACACTGTTACTGATTTCTCCCAAAGCCCCCGGTGCACTCCGTGAAGTCATTCTTCGGGATGTTAGCAATATGGCCAACATAAGAAACCGGAAAGACGAAGGGTACGGGTGCGCGGACCAGATACCTGTGTTTAAACCATTCAATTATTGCCAAGATGAGGGTGGTGCGAATGTGCCTCTGACATGTTCTTATCGAGCGATTCGTGCCGCGCTTCTTCCTCTTCACTTGTGGGCTCAACCGGATGTGGAGTAGCGACCTCACTCAAAGTGGCATAAGAGTCATCATCTTTATTATCTTTCCCAGTATCTGTATGTGGCTTAATTTCTGGTTTGGAACCTGAATCTTTCTTACGGCCACCCGTGAGTATTCGCCGCAGTTTGGAAAATGTCATATTCTATCCAGCGATAAATGAGATCAAGGCCAAATATTGTGTATAATATGACATAGAAATTTTCCTAGACGGTCATTGTCTCCAAGACATATAAGGCGGTTATTCTGTTGGCTGTTTTTAGCCACAGGGAGGCTACGTCATGACTATGAAGGGGTGAACAGATCATCGGACGCGTTTCCGAGTCCCCTAGAGCGTTATTAGGATAGTTGGAATTGTGTCAATATTATCCAGCTTAATCAAAAAAATTAAATATGAGTAGATTAGCTATATTTGTAGTCTTGTCGTCTAGTTACGCTGTTATATGTCGGACATAACGCGCCGGGCTCCTAAATCCGAACTTGGCATCGACACCTCGTATCCAAAGTTTCTCACGTCTTACCACTTAGTGCCCTCAACAACAGATCTTAAAGATGGCTTCCCAAGTAGATCACCCGCCTCTCGAGCAAACAGCTTCGGATAATTCGGTAGACATGTTAGATCCTGTGGCCCGAAGACGACTCCAAAATCGCCTCAATCAACGTGCGAGCAGTAGGTAGCAGTCCTATTCGCCACGCAACTATCACTTGTTCAGACTGACGTTTGATACAGGAAAAAGGAAGGCGCTGGAGTGCAAAAAGCAACGCAACATGTCAGACAGGAAATGGGTTGTCTATATGGAGGATTCGAACCTCCCCAAAAAGAATGCCTTCACAGAAGAAACAACAAGCCATCAAGTCACTAAATCATCATCACCTCCCCACCAAAACGAAGAACATCTCTGTTATTTCAACCCTTCCCAGCGCGATGAATTCATGGACAACCTGCATGCGAAAGCCTTGCATATGATGGGAAAGCCGGCTCTCTCACAAAATCTCACTTTTCACATATCCCAGTACAATATACTTCGAGCTATGTTAATCAACGCCGATCTCATGGGTCTCACATTTGATCTTCTCAACGAAGACCTCGCATCGCAGTTCAACCTCGTCGGTCCATCGATGTCGGCGATACATCTTCCAGCAAGCCTGTGTCCATCCCAAAAACAAAAGAAAATCATCCATCATCCCTGGATCGATTTAATTCCAATGTTGTCTCTACGGGAGGCTCTCTTGGCTAGGGCAGATGTACTCGACGAAGATGAACTATGCGGCGATCTTTATGGGGCTTGCGCTTCATCGCAAGAAGTTGGGCTTTGTGTTTGGGGCGAAGCTTGGGATCCATTTGCTTATGAGGTCTCTGAGAACTTGATCAGGAAATGGAGTTGGATGGCAAAAGACTGTCCCGACATAATCAAGTCGTCTAATTACTGGAGGAAACAGCGAGGGGAAAAGCCCATCATGCTCAGGATCAAGTGATATATAATAATCACGTCAAAGTCGGTTCAACTTTGCGTGACTCACAGCGGGAACCTCTCCTGGGTCAGGCTCTCGCTCAGCTCCCAAAGTTTGGTCCAGTTGCCTTCGTCGTTGATGTGAGTGTGCAATTCGTGGTCGGAGACTGCGTTCTGGCTGAGGTATGAGCCGTTGTACTCTGGATGCGGGTATGATTAGTGTAAGACACTGTAAATGCGGGCTTAGCGAAATGGGGTACTTACCTGCGATGGTAGGGTCAACCATCCCTGTGATAACGGTCGCGGCTCCTTCTGAGGTAGTAGTCCATGGGGGAATTTCGATTGGCTTTCCATCCATGTCAACCATGGCTATGAGGTCGGTTAGTGAGAAATAAACCATTCAACGAGAGCGCAGCACATACCTCCGGCCCTTTTCCATTCTTCAACCTGGTCAATGAATCCGGGAGGGCAGTGTCGTTGCAGACCGGATTGAACAGCTAAATGCTGGTCAGCTTGATTCACCGCGCGGTAAGGAGAAGTAAGACATACCGCCAGGATCAATACTGAAAACACGGATTTTCTCGACCTTCAACCTCTCACCCAGTCTCTTGACAAACATGACTCTCGCAGCATTCGACTGCCCATATGCGACCATAGTGTCATATGTTTGGCCGTCCTGCAAGGAAGCGCAACGTCAGCGCTATTAAATATAATCTGCAAGTCAAACTTACACTGAAGTTGAAGTCGTGGAAGTGCATCTTCCCTTGTCTTACCATGGACGAGGCCATGATAACCACAGACGAATCCGGTCCCGCGGCACGGATCTTCGGTAGGAGCAACTTCACGAGCAAGAAGTTTGCCAGGTAATTGACTCCCAGCTGGCTCTCAAACCCATCCTTGGTCTTGCTGTAAGGCGGAAACATCACGCCGGCCACGCAGACAAGGTGGTCGATTTGAGAGACATCTTTCAGGTCTCCCACAGCGTTCCGCACGGCGGTCAAGTCACTCAGGTCCATGTTGAGAAAGCGGGTTTCCACATTAGGCTTGGCCGACTTAATTTTGTCTTTAATTCCTTCCACCTTTGATTTGGCACGGGCACTCAGGATGAGTAGCTTTGGATCGGCGGCGGAAAGCTGAAGTGCGAGTTCGCCTGCAATCGAGTCGTCAGAAACGCCGGTGATGAGCACTACGAAAGGTGTTTCGTCAGCACTCTTCTCCATGACATAATATGGAAATCTTAAATTACCTGTCTTTCCGGCGAGGGCCTTGCCGTACTTCTCGAGGACGACCTCAGAGCGGAGGATTTGTTGATAGTTGGACATTTTTGGGTGAAGGTGTTTGAAGGTAAGAATCTCCAGCAATGAAGAAAGCAAACAAGTATTGATTGATGTCTCCTCCATTTCAACAAAGTGAAGTGGTCCCCTTTATACGTTTCCCCTCGGTGATAATGGGATTAAGCGTCCTTTCAGTCCACCTGGGCATCTCGAGTATAGTTCGGAGGGACCAATCGACGTCCACGGAAATCCCCAGTCCCTTACCATATCGGGTTAGTCCGCTGTCATCAAATATCAAGTGCATCAGGTTGTTTCTTCAAAAGGCTTTGATGAGCGCGATTAGAAGATGATGGAATATATTAGGGATATTCCTTTTGGAAATTTGGGGGGCCTTTGAGATGAAAACTCCGTTAATTCCGACAAATTGTGCCTCATACAGGCGAGGGTGCGTCCAATACCAGAACATGTTAAAGTCCATGCATGATATTATGATCCAATTTCACTTGGATAATATAGAATAAACGGTAGTTAGCCATAGATAGGCAGGTTCTTTCTTGAAGACCATTGGAAATAAGGACATACAAATTGAGAGAATAGAGGTGGCCAAAGAGCGCGCGGAAAGCCGCCTGGGTTGTACATGTAGGATGTCCCCTTCATTGTGCGACAGTAGAGGAATTGCCCGATTGAGTCATGCTCTGAGTCGAGCGGGGATCATCACCTCATACACGGATGCCTTGGGGGGAGGTACCGTATATTATGCCCTAGTCGAACTTCCCCATTCCTTGCCTTCTGTGGGACGAGTTCATCTTAATCGTAGTGCTGCTTTTGCTAATTTCATAACTCGATGCAAGAACGGACCTACTGGCGGAAGACTAGAGATGGATTTGTGCCAAGGCGAAATAGTAAATATGATTATTAGATTCCAACAGGGGGCTAAACCAGAGCCGCCAGCCCAAATGTCTACACGTATCTAATACAATGCGCCAAACAAAATAAGACAAGGTCATCACACATATCAGCGGACAGACATGAAGTAGCAGTACTCAAAACACCGTGCTCTAGAACCACATGATGCCTGCAACAAGACCAATCACAACAGCCATGCAGCTTCCATGGAGCTCCTGCGAGTGCCGACCAGCGGCAGCATCGGTGGAATCCTCAGCGCCAACCTTTTGTTGGGGCGGTGCTTGCTCGGATGGGGTGAATAGGTCTTGATCTGAGACAGCCGGGTTGCGGGTTGCGGGCTTGTGTATTAATGATGTGGGAACCCCAATGATCTGCTCCGGGAGGAAGATCGATTTCGCATAATTTGCTCTGTGGAGTCCGACGCGTTTTCCAAAGTCAATGGCGACATGGCAGGCCTGCTGATACATATCGCGGAAGGAGGCAGCAAAGAGCACCAGTGGCTCATCAATGCTGTCGGAGGAATTATTATATGACAGGATGCTTGGAGGAGATTCGTTGTCGAGGGCTGGTGAAGATTCGTTCGGGGTGATGGTAGGATATGGATGCGTCGAGTCTGCACCTAAAGTGCGATTGGAGAATGACGTGAGGAATGGGTAGTCGTCCAATTGCTGGATGAAGTAGGTTCTGAATGCGCGAGCTCTACGGCTGAATGAGAATGATGATTCACGGGTTAACGATGGATGTTGGCTCTTATTCGCGAGTACTGTCGTTTCGCTGGCCGGGACCGCAGCGGCATTTGCAACCCGCGCGGTAAGCGGTGGGCGATTGCCACGCGATCGAGGTGATGATTGAAGAACCCATGATTTGCGAACCTCATTGAGCGGGGGTGCTTTCCGTGCTAATTCGCTGACACTATCTTGAAGGAGAGGGACCTCTGGACAGTCGACTTGGTTAGTTGACATGAACCTGACATGGGCGGAAAGGGGGACATACGGCGAGCTGCACCAGTGTAGAAGCTGAAGTCCGCGAACTTCGAGTGATAGAGATTCGGTAGTGATGGCACCAATGTGAGAAGCGAGAATGCAATGAGGATGAGGAGCGGGAGAGCGCCAGGTTTATCCAAGCCAGACCGCATCGTCCCTGCTCCCTGACTCCGCCCAGGAGTTTCCAAAGGGTGTTGAGGTTCAGGCTTCGCGAGAATCGAGGAGAAGCAAGAATGACAATTTCAAGGCCATGGAGGGGATAAGCTCGGGTGTTTTGCGTCTCAATGCAACGTCCCGCGGGATGCAGCGTTTATGCAGAGCAACGCGCCGACGCGCAGGGGGCTGGTCTATCTGGAGGGGGGCCGACAAGACGTGTATATTGTAGGAGCTTGGGAGAAAAGATGTGGAAATCACAGATACGGTGGGTTCAGGTGGATTCGATGGGTTAATAGTCGAATGAAATGCGATAAGGAGCCCTCGGGGTAGGTGGATGTGCTTTCTTGGCCTCTTTTTTTTTTTCCGCACAGGACTCCGAGTATGACGTCTATGACCGTTTTGTAGCACAACGATAACCTGGACGTATTTGAAATGTGTCGTTCGATCTGAAGTGTACAGATTCCTATGCCAAATTGCCGAAGAATGTTCTCCCACGTTGGCAGTTTGACAGTTTGAAGTTTTCAGAATGTTGGCCTGAGGCATCACTGTCCCTAGCAACGTGTCGATCACCAAAACAGGAAAACAGGATTTCTCAATGGAACGTGCCCGAGTCCTGCTTGGTAGTCCATTGGAAATATGCCTGCATAATGTGATGTGAGCCAAGTCCATCGCTCAAGGCAACCGGTTAACATTTGTGTTATGACATATAATATCCCGAATATCATGATGGGCCAAATAGATCCGGTCACTAAAGTCCTACGGCGTCAAGGAGGCTGCATATGCGGCCAACCACTCTTATAGACTATAGATCGAAACCACATTGCAATGAAGCCTTTTGAATATGAAGTAGCAATACTAATACATTATCAGGGCGTAACAACCAGGCCTTGTAGCGAATTGACAAGCAAAGCAAAGAAGCAGAAAACAATGACCCACTCAAAATCGCAATAGCGAGTCATCACCGCGCGGACATACATTTCTGGCGGGTAGACGCAGTGAAAGCAGGTAAGAGTGTATGTATTCTAATCCTTTTGGTCTCGTGGACAACTGTTGTGATGAGTATTTCATTTTTTGTGGGTATAAGACAATCCCTACTTACTTACCACGATGTCCGCCGTTGTTGACGTTCTATGTCTAGTGTAGAAGCGAAAGTAGCTATATAGCCTTTCTTGTTGTCATTCTTGTTGCTAGAAGGTTGGTTGTTGTTGTTGGAAGAACCCCAAGACTTCTTGTTGTCCTTCTTCTCGTCAGAATTGCAATTGTCTTCGTTGGTCGAGGTCGTATTGGCCGAGGGAGTGAAAGGACTCTTGATGCCAGTTGCAATCTTTGCAGATACTTCTGTTAGGATAAGACCATAGTAAACCTCGTCATGAAATTTGGGTTCTTGAGATCCTTGAGATCAGGTTTCAACCCATGGATAAAGACCTGACAGCGGGGATTCTTCTGTAAACAATGAACATATCGAATTCAAGGTGATTTCTGCCAAGTCATGTGGATATAATAGCAGGTAAATTGTTGGCCTGGCGCTGGAAGGCAAGAATGAGTCAGGAAATAAATGTACTAGTTGGTTAAAAATTTCATGAATGACATAAAAGCCGTTCTCGTGAAATGAGCCTAAGCCAACTGCCTACCCCAGGCTGTCGCTCAATAACAGTAGCGATCATTCTCAGAATGTTATCAAGCCGGATCTTGTGCTGCTCGGGTAGTTGGGATGAATGCCCGAGCCGGGACGATCAGCTTGGCAAAGTTCTCAGCGCGCATCGCTTGAGGGACTGCTGCGCTTCGGTGTCGTCAAGGCCAATGTCGGCCTGCATCTGGCGAATAGCCTGCTCCAGATTTTCGGTGACAGCTAGGCTGGATAGGGGCCTAGCGCTTCCAGGTTGTGCCGTTGGACTCCCAGGTGCTCGGTCCACTCAGCCTCGCTACCCTCATCAAAGTCGTCGAGATGCCCGCTATCAATGGAGCCGAGCTCCGTCTGCTAGGACCATGGGACGGTTTGGTGGTAATGGCTACCCTCTCAGCCGCCACCATCATGACGGAGAAAGTCACAGATAGTGAAATAGTGAAACTAGCCCTGATATAGCCAATTCCATAAACAATCGGAAAGGCCCGGATCCTTGTACGGGCGAGTAGTAGATCTGATAGGGCGACTTAAGTCGTCAAGGAGATCGCCGATACTATCAAATGAAGCTGGGCCCCTTCTGTGGGAACCATAGGGCATTGCCATTTGGAGGGACCTTGGCGTGACAGGTTCCGTAGAGGATTGGGCGAAGAAAATGCCTGGTTGGAGGACGATACGGTCCGGGTGGATGAGGCTGTATTCCTCAGACATTTCTTCTTCGGGCTTAGAGGTAGCGCCTGCCATACACCCTCTTGGTCCCTTATAGTGATTAAATAATACTATAAATCTAGGTGAAATTTTGGAAAAGTAGGCGCGGCTAAAGACGCCACGGGCAAAAAAAAAGAGGAAGCTCGTCAGCTGTAAGTGGTCATCCGGTTAGAGCCAGATCCCATAAATATGGGGGATAGGGCGTAATATACCAGACGAGGAGTGGCGTGGCCCCGGAAGGCGTATGGTAATTTATGCAGGCGCCGTTGAAGAAGGCGATGTTTTCCTTGTCCACCGCGACACAGTAACTCTCAGGTGCTCCATTTCCTGCCAGACAGTCTTGGCACGCGGCGACAATGATCCAGCCAAACTCTGGCACGTGCGGAGCTAATGCTGTTTTGGAAGTGTGTGCACTACAAGAAAGCCGTCACACACTCCACCT